CCCCTCAAAATGACAGACTGAATGGCTTCATGAAGGTCAAGTCTGATTTAAATTGTTGATGAATTAGTACCTAATTCTGCATGATTGAATATTAATATGGAATGGTGATAAGTAAGGCACTTTAAAGCTTAATGAGCACATTAATGAACAGGACAAAATGTTTTTCTTTTCACCTCACATAAAAGTTTAAAACTACTAACATTAACAATTTGTTAATTTTTGATAGCTGCTTTTCTGTGTGAAAGTTGATGTAGTTCAGATTTTAAAGGTGTCAATTCAATTCCCAAGTTCCTGATACCACTTATTTTGATAAGTGTCACAGTTAACATAATCCAATGGCTAAGACAGTTGTATATAAATCACTAATAAATGTATAAAGTGAAAAAAGCCATTAATATCTTCTAAACTACACCCACAGAGATAAGCATTCCAATTAGAAATTTCATTATTTCTACAGTTCGTTTTATGTTGAATACTAAATTTTATTGCCAAATACCTGACAGTCAAATTGGAAACAAGCCACGACTGTCAACGTGAAACAGCTCTAGCTGTTCGAATCTGTTACCTTGTGATATTTCTCATGAAAATTCAGAGAAAAAAGTGCATTTGATGAGGTTCTGCAGAATGGGGGGGGGTGGACAGAATTTAATTACCCCTATTAAAAATAAGAAAAGAGTGTCCTTTACATTCTCTGACCAATTAGTATGCTAGGTAGCTTATCTTAGTTGTGCATTTATGTGTATGAAAAAGAGGCTCTGGAGTGTTCTCTATCAGCTGAGCAGGAAAAATAACAACAACAACAACAACAACAACAACAACAACAGGTCATTCAAATGTATTAGGCTACTTCCAGGAGGGCACAAGTCAATTTAGCCACTAGCTCTGCTTTTGTTGTGTAGGAGTTTACATCCAGTGTATTCAGAAGGCCTCCTGTAATACAGAATCGCAATCTTCTCAAACAGCAACTGCAGTAAGTTAAATAACTGCAAGTCCTCCAGTACCGGGAGGACTTAATTTCTTATAAATGGTTATTAAGTATAGATTTCCTTGGTAAGAGTCTTCAGTAAGTGGCTCAATAATCTTAAGGCTTTGACACTACTGATCAGTCTTGAATATTGGCTTGATTCTTTAGAGAGATAAACATGTAAAAAAAATTAATGACTAGCATTATTATTTAGTTAAATGCCATGGACTCCTCCAGTACACTAAGAAACAGAAAAATTCTAGAGTGATGTTTTGTTGTTGTTGTTTTGCTTAAGTTTATTGCTCTAAAAAAATAGAAAATAACAATAAATTCTAAGCAATTTTCCAGAAATTCTGTTTTCAATATTCAAGGCAATGTAATTGACTTTCAAACACTTGAGAGAAATTACTCTTATTGTTTGAAGGATTTTTGTGTCAATAGCTGCCAAGTGAGATGTTTAATAATATAATATTTGTGTTACAGCAGCTATTGATCTTTTTCTTTTTTCTTTTTCCTAACAACATTAGAACTACATTGAAGATGTAACTGTATTGGTAAAATCTTAAAGAGCATAAACAACAGCCTGATGAAATTCCAGTGGAATAGGTTATTAAGATTAGCATAACCTAATTTGTAAGGCATGCCTCATCTCATTTTAATTTTTAACTTTCCCTGTAAGACTCGAAAAATCATCTTGAAATGCCACTGTGGATCCCTTCTCCTGACACCTCCTGTGAACCTCTGCTTGGCTGAAGATGTTTAAACATTTACATAATCAGGAGTTTCTGTTTCTTCAGAAAAAAAACACGTTTTTCTAGATGAATGAAATGTACTTTGTGGAAATTAACTATTTTATATTTTAAAATTTTAAATTATTATTGCTAGTGGTCAAAGCAGGAAGTATCTAGTCTAACAAGAAAATAATCTCTAGTAGATCCAGGTATCGAGCTCAACCTGCTGCAATTTCCTTTGTTTTTTCGTAGACTATTAATAGAAGTTATATAAGCATTGTTCTGGCCATCCTGAGAGCCAGTCTAGACTTTCCTCTTATGATGATCTAGAACTGCTGTTCTCTGAACTTTCATTTCTTGTAGATTTTTTGTTAGTATTTTGGCATATTCAGTGTCTTCAATCCTTTCTTGTTATTCTTCTAACAGAAGTTGTGTGTTGAGAGGACATTTCTTCCTCTATTCATTGACATATATTCACCTAGATTTGGAAATTACTGGGATGCATCTTAAAATTTAGCAGTTGATACTAGTGTGATGGCAAGGGATTTGAAAGCAAATTTTGGTGGAAGGATAGGGTTTCTGCGGTTTGTAAATACTAGAAACTGGACTTGCGTACCCATTGGTATATATATCTCTGATGAGGAAAAGATTAAATGTGTTTCAGAGAGGTCTGTTAACCTTTATGAAGGAAGTACTTTGAGCTAAATGGCTTCCAAGTGGCACAGAATCTTTAACAGATATGATTTGTCTAGGGAGATGTGACAGTGTCAGTATGGACAACAGGAGAGTTTCCTGTGGATGAAGTAATCAGTGAGAGGCTGAAACAAACAGGACCTTTTTAGCCAGGGCTAAGAATTTGAGTTTGGCCTGTAGGTTGGAAGAGGATATCAGAGAGGACACACAGGCTGACTGACAACAAAGAGGAAGCATCAGGATTATGTTCTGATGTTTTCCTAACTAGTGTTTATGATTTTTGAGCTACTTAAGAGTTAAGGGATCATCAAAATTCATCAGTGGTCATGACCTGCTATTTTGATTAAATGAACATCAAACCAAATTAGAAGTCAAAGTATTTCATAATAGTCTGCAAACAAATGTCCAAATTCTAATTTGGATATTACCACACATCAAACTTATGTTTCTTCAGTGCACAAATAGAAACTGGCTTTCTAATCCAGGTTGGAAGAGCTAGCCATGCAGGTTTTCCATGTGCAGCATGACTGGAGGATTTAAGTAGACTTTATTTCCTCCTCTGAAATCTGAATCAGTTTTGTTGTGGGTGAGAAGAAGTTGACTTTAGTTGAGTTGGAGAGTTGAAATTTAGGAACTTTTTAATTTCTGAAAATGATACAGGCCTTTCAGATGGGAGCAAAGTATTTTCTTGCCCTAAGGAATGTATTCTTTTGAGTCATTAACAGGGATTTAATTTTTTCCTTTGGTAAAAAACTCTCTAGAACAAGGAAGAAGAGAAGGGGAAGAGAAGGAATGAAAAAAGTGTTTAAACAGAGAGAGTTAAAGGGAAGAAATGGAAACAGAGCATTTGTAAATCGGTAGAAGAAGAAAGGTTGAAGGGAAGGCAGGAAATGGGGAGAACGAAGATATATGTATGTACAAATGTCTCATGATGGGTGTGGTCATATGTATGGAAAACGGGATATAGAGGAAAGAAACTCCCAGACTACTATATGTTTGGAATGAATTTGTGTTCTCTAAAATGAAGAAAGAATTTTAGGAACAATGGAGGTTAAAAGCAGAATATATTGATTGAAAGAAACAAAGCTTCCAATGAGAGAGAGACAGAAATGGTCCTAAGTGCGTTGCCTAGAATCTTGCCTTTTCTTGGGACTTTTGTAGAGCAAAATCACAAGGTGGAAAAGGTCCAAGGTGGATTGGGAACTCCCAAGGCAACTGGGCATGAAGTGGGGCAGAGCTATGATCAATCAATAAGATTAGGAGTATAATTGCTCGGGTAAAATTGATTAAATCTGGATCCAGTGGGGAAGCAAGTCACATAACAAGTGGACATGAATATAGAAAAGAGGCTTTTCCTAGAGGGGATTGGTTTAGTGGCTACTTTGGCTTCCACAAGGTGATTGATACCTATTTAGAATATCAGTCTCTAATTGTTATATTTGTCTTTTGTCTTGAGATTTGGCCCACAGTGGAGGTGTTTGTCTTCCCTCATAGCTGCAAGGTATCCAGTCTTCTGCACTGGCTCCTTCCAGGGCCCAGCTGTGTCTGACTGCCTATAATATTTTTAGTTAACTCAGCTGTCTATAACACATGTGCTAATAAAAAAATTGAATAACTCACAGATAATTTTCTGATCAGTTGAAACTCCTGTCAAAGGAATTCATTCAAGTTGAACCTTATACTTGGATAAAAAATGCAGTCATTCTCAGTATCTGTGAAGGATTGGTTCTGGCTCTCACATACCCAATAATCTACTGAAGTCACTCATCTAAGATGCTTTAGTAATTGCATATAACCTTCCATACCTTCTTGTAGATTTTAATTCAGCTCTAAGTTACTTGTAATATATAATATAACGTAAATGCTCTGAAGAGGTGTTATACCTTGTTGTTTAAGGCTTAATAACAATAAGAAGTGTGTACATGTTTGGTGTAGATGCATTTATTTTCCCAAATATTTCCAATCAGGCAACTGTTTTCAACCGGTATATGTAGTACCAGTGGATTCAGATGGCTAAGTGTATATAGTTTTGCTTACCAGTTTTTAGAGAAATGTTTCAACATGGAATATAGATAGCTCATCTTGGCTTCCTACTCACTAACCTGTGTTTATGTTCCCACTCAACTTCCATCAAATTCCTGTGCTAGCTCCGCCAGTGCCTACTATTTTCTTTCAGTAAAACCTTCCTACATCAATGCTGAGACTGGGGATATCCCTGTCTTTCTAAAACTCTGTCTTCCTTCTTTGAAACCTGGCCAGCTTGACTGCCTAACACCTTCCTAAAGGCCCTTTGCCTTCAGAGCTTCCCCTGGCTGCTCATGAATCTGCTGCAGCCCAAATCCTGTAGTTTGTTTTTGCACTGTTATGAAACTTGTTTCATCTCCTTATTGTAGTCTCTTGCCCCAGCCTGAGCTCTGCGCTAGCATGTAGGCTTTTGGCATCTTAGTCTGCTAGGCAGAAACAGACATTGTGACTGTACCCTCGTCTGATGGTGCTGTAGTGCTCAACAAGTTAGGGCCTCAACAAGTGCTGAAAAAGGTAGAGATGTATAGAAATATTGAATTTTAAGCTTTTAACTTGTTAACATGTTTATATTACCTTTTGTCTTGCAGAGGATCAAATTCCCAGGGGCTTCCCTACCATTGACATGGGCCCACAGTTGAAGGTGGTGGAGCGCACGCGCACTGCCACCATGCTGTGTGCAGCCAGTGGCAATCCGGATCCAGAAATCACTTGGTTTAAAGATTTCTTACCCGTCGACACAAGCAACAACAATGGTCGTATTAAGCAGTTACGATCAGGTAGGGTCTTGTTACTGTTTCCATTGACTCCTAGAGCAAATTTTTAAAAACTCTTTCTCTCTCTCTCTCTTTTTTTTTTTTGTTAATTTATTTTAATTTTTAGATATTGATTTTTCTTCCTCTTCTTTCTCTGTTATTTAACATGTTGTCCATGTTTGTGATGTCATGGCCTGTTTCAGAGTCTGCCCTTCTCTCTGTGTTTTGCAGCTTCTGTTTAATCCACATTGCTCACTGCTGTGACTGCATTTTTGATATATTTTTTTTAATTTACTGCTTTTCTGCAGTATTCGCTGGATCCATTTTCTCTTTCTTTCTTCTTTCTCTGTTTTCTTTTGAAACGAAATTATTTCAACATTGGACTTCATTCAGAACTTGCAAGGAGTTCCAATGCTTATATTCATTAAGAAACAAATGTCGATATTAAACCCTAAAATGATTCAATAATATCAAAGTCTGTTTTCTGCCTGTCTTTTCTACTTTTGAACTCATCCAAGTATCAGCGTTTAGTAAGTTTGGACACATCTGCTTTCTTTTCACTAATACATAAAACATGGAAATGTTATCTCATGAATAACCAGTTGTATTTTTTAAAGTCTTTTTCAAAGTATCAACAAAAGGAGGGGAATTTTATTAATACTATTACTGTGTCATTGTGAGTGAGCATTTTCTACACATCAGCCACCATAGTGTGCGCCCACACTCACACTCAAGGTTTTGAGCCCTCCAGTGACTGGATCTACAGAAGTCTGCTTTTGGTGTAGACTCCAGCTTTTGCTGTTTCCTCCCTCTCTTTGTCCTTTTCTCCCTTTCCCGTTCCCATCCCGAGTTTATTCTTGTGCTCTCTGTAGATTAAAAGTAGAGATAATTCTAAATTCTGAAGTATTAGAACCAGTCCCTAGGTAATGTCATGGGGGCATATACTAATGAGCTGTTTACTTTGACATTTTGGTAATAATGGTATGGAATTATAAGTTGTTTAACTGCCTGTCTTCCCAGAATTCTCAGCTTTTGACCTGTCCTGTGATGTTAAAGCGTCTTGTTAACTGCCTTTTTTGCTTGTTGTCAGCAGAACTGTGTAGTTTAGAATTCTGTTTTTGTAAATAAAGAATTAATGATTCACATGTAACATAGATAATTTAGTATAATAAAGCTTTAACTTCTGAAAAATTTGTACCAAATTATAAGGAATATAATAATATTTTTATGCTGTCTCTCTTCTCTCCGTATTTAAATCTCCAGAATCCATTGGTAAGTGCTTAGTTCTGAAGCGCACTTCACCCCCCCACTAATTTCCATATGCAGAATATTATGATTATGATTATTAATAAAATGCATGGCATGCATTTTACTAACTGTCAGTGTAGACACCAGTTCTCTGTAGTGGCGCGCACATGGACACCTCCACAGAACTGTTATTATAAGAACACTGTATAGAGAAATAAAATATACACAAATTATATCACACAAGTGTAACATAAGAAGTAGCATATGCTATCTAGCCAACAGTGTTTGTTTCTAGTCAGACTTTAGTATTTCCTGTGATAGTATATATATATGGATATCTATATATATACTTAAATAGCTTAGCTAGCATTTTCCTAAACTATGTCTTTAAAAATATTGTATACTTCTTTTTTTAAGGATATGAGGCATATGAAATATAATTCTAACCCTATGTGATCCCAGACCTAAGAACTCAGTTGCTTCTCTGAGAAAGGCAATGCTGCCTATTACGGTCTTTGCCCTCTGTGGTATAGTGCAACTTGCTTTTGTGATCTAATAATACTATCTAATATATTCCTGTTTTACCAGTATAGTAATTCAAGTTTCTTTTAAGATCTTATTTAATTCTGTAAATCTAATTTAATTCTTCTCCCCAGCCCTAGCCTCCTTCTTCTCGTACTAATGCTTCTTCTTTCTAATCTTATTTGCATTCATATTATCCACCCAGGTGGTACACCAATAAGAGGTAAGAGTGCTGAACTAACGTTCACAGAATGATCTTACTCATTCTTTCTGTCCTTTCATCCCTCCCATCTTTGTCCTGTTTTCCAAACCATCCCAATAATGTCCATCAACTTAATTTTTTTCCTTTGTACCGTTTGGTTATGATTCGTGACGCCCATCTTGTGGATTTTCCTTTCCTTTTCTCTTTTTCTCTTTGTTTTGTTCATTTCTTTCTTTATGAAAATGATTATTTAAGTTGTGATATGCTTCAAAGAAAGCATATCCGGGTCTTTAGACCTCCGACCAGTCACAGCGTACCATCTGTCCCTCTTTTTTTCTTTTCTTCTTCTTTTTTTCTTTTTCTCTTTTTTTTTTTTGTTTTTTTGTTTTTTCTTCTTTTTCCTTTTTTTTTGTCCAACTGGAGAAAAAAAAAGATCATTTTTTTCTTCCTTAGCTGTTCTTGTTCTGGACCAAAGCCAAGGTGGTCTGGAGAACAGTAGCAGACATGCAGAAGACAGCCTGGACCATCTGCTTTTTGTCTTTATCTTTCAAAAGGTTTTTGCTTTTGTTCTTCAATTCTTTTTTCTCTTAATGTCTTAAAAGTCAAAGAATGACTCCCTTTCCACCCGATCCTACTCGCCTACAAGCTGACAGCGATTCTTTTTTCCCTATTTCTTTTTTTCTTGGATTACTCGTCTCTGGATTTTTGGATCTTCTGTCCTTCAGGCTATGGAAACGAGGTTCTCAGTATTCTTGGTGGTATGTGTATATTGCCGGTTTTTCATACTTTGACTCAGTGTTCATTTCTTTTGTAATTCTTGTTTTGTATTTTTCTTGGGGTTTTGTGACACCGCACTGCTAATCCCACTGGTGGATTGTGATGGGTGTCTTGGGGATCTGTCTCAAGGTCCTCAAGCGGTGGTTGGTCGACTCTTCCTGGCTGGCACAGGCCGTGCTTTTGAACTTTTTTAAAATCTTCTAATGCAACTGCTCTTTGTTTTTCAGCAAATGTAATCAATAATTGTAAGTTGTGGCAAACTGTCTTTCTTTTCTTAAACGATCTGCATGTCTTAAGGGAGTTTTGTTTCTTTAAGTGATATTTTGATAACTGATAATGACTAATTTTAATTTTTTGCTTTGGGCAGCCTTTTTGTGCTTGCTGCGTATTTTTGGCTTTCTTCAGCAGAAGACTTTCTTGAAAACTCAGCTGGTTTTTTTTTGTGATGTACCCATCTTTTGCGCCACTTTTGATATAAAAATGAAACAAAACAAAACCAAAAATTAATCTTTTGTTTTATTTAAAAGCCATACTTCCTTGAAGCAGTCTCACCCATCTTCATTTTATTAGTCTAGGAAATGAGAGTGTTAATTATGAATAGAATCTTGCTTGGGAAAAGAGATATTGTTTTCTTATGCTAGCATTGATGATGTTAAAAAAAGAAATAATCTCTATATGTTTTTCTCATCGCATCATTTTCTGTCTGTGCACCTTAGCGAGAGATTGAATCGACGTTGAGCGGACCTTCGCTTTGCCAGGGCTTTTCATATTATTGAGAGGTTTAGCTTTCTGAATTGAGAAAGCCTGCTCTGACCATCTCTTTGGCAATATATTTTATATCCATACAGGAGCCCTTCAGATCGAACAGAGTGAAGAATCTGATCAAGGAAAATATGAGTGTGTTGCCACCAACAGCGCGGGCACTCGATATTCTGCCCCTGCCAATTTATATGTCAGAGGTAGGAATGATACAACCCCAGCATGGCTTCTTCACTCAGCATCAGGGGGAGTTGGCCTAAGAGCAGGACCTGTGTTCTTATGTCCAGTATTTGATAAGTAGATTTGGGAACGGTTACAGTTGCTGAAGCATTTTAGAAAGTACAGAATGAAAAAAGTGTAAATGTATTTTTCCTAATAAAAAGAGAAAACTCTTGAGTATAATCTATCCTGAGGCTTGAGCTTTGTAAGTATAATTGCATTTTAAGATTTTTATTCTGTTTTTTTTTTTACTGCATTGATTGAACTGTAATTTGCATTTGTTTGAGAGTTTCTTCTTTTTCTTACTTTTTTTCCTGACGTTTCTTCTCTGTTTCCTTATCAAACCTTAGAATAATTGCTTGGTGTGCTACTAATCAGTTGTGTGTGCAGTTCTAAGCATAAAGGTGTTTATGTCTTCATGACCTCTGCTGCCAAGCTATAAGAATAAAGCTGCAAATTAAAAAACAAAAACAAAACAAAGAGGGATGCCATATAGAAATAGCTCAACTGTAATACTTTCTATGTTAATTATCTTAATTATTTATTAAGATAATAATTATTATCTTAATTATTAATTGTATTAATTATCTTAAAATACTTTTTATGTTAATTATCTTTTTATCTTAATTATAAATATATAATATTATATATAATATATCTGAATATACTTATATATGCACATTTGTATACATCAAGACTTATTTAAATTACTAGAACATTGAAAAAAAATCTAACCTTTTGATTGCCATGGAACCCTGATTGCATATTTTAAAATAATATTAGTTGTCCTTGGAACAGGAATGAATTATGAAGATATTCATGCTTTCCCTTATATATAGTAACAGGAATGATTAAATTTTGAGCTTATAAATGGCTGTGCCTTTCATTTTGAGGGAAAAGACCTACTTCCTCTTCCCTGGAATTCTCAAAGCTGATTCCTGTTGGTTTTTAGCCAGTGAAAACACTGGTTCCTGGTCTACATTTCTGAATAGCCAGCAAGACTTGGGTGGGGGTGGGAACAGATGAGACACCAAATGGCTTTAAGTTAGCATAGGATGGGAGGGGGAGGTCCCTTAAGAAAATATCTAGCTTGATTTTGAAATTTTTGTTAGAGACAATTTTCCCTGGGGATGTTTTTCTCCTTTCTCTCTATGGAGTCTGGGGAGGGGGGATATGAAGAAAACTGTTTCTTCTCTAAGTACTTTGAGAACCCCTCAATTCTTCTCTCACAGTGGTGACCTCCTTTGCTGCATGAGGCATGTGTACCTTCTTCCATTGAAAATTTCAAAATGATGCTAGCTATTGTTTCTAATAATGTGTTAGTCTGTAAGGTATCGCTAACTTTCCAGCTAAGGTAGGAAGGATGAACTAGAGCAAATAAAGATGTTCAAATAGCAGTTGAAAGCCTTGATATGGCCTTTTTACTCTCTCTGTGTTTCCCTTGTTTTTCTCCTTTCCTCATTTCATTGTGTTCTGCATCAAACCCCCTACATCCCTCAGAGCTGCGAGAAGGTTGGTGTGTTTTTTACTTTTTACCCACCTTACAAAACTATTAATTAAACCAATAACAAAAGAATACAAATGAAATGAATGTAGCTGCATTGTGGTCTTCTTTTGGTTAATGGTATATTTTAGCAGAGAATGCTCTGGCCATGGCTTCTGTTGCTTGCTGGTGGTGTCTAACCGTGATGCATGATGGGGAAGGATGTACCGGGTGCATGGTAACTGGTAACACTTAACTCTCTAAGATCCAGTGAATTTGGTCAGTGTTCCTGCTTTCCTTTTTCCTCTACTCTTCCCGTGTTCCACCCTGCCTTTAATTTCTGTCTTCTAAGGATGCCTGCTGCCCCACAGAATGACTTTTCATAGTTGTTCCCCTAATTCCAAGCATGAAGACTAAACTCCCCTCCATTTTTCTCGATATGTTGTTTGACACCTCAGTCTACACTGGCTCCTGCTTGCTTCGGGTAACCTCTGTGAACTGGCTGCAGGAGGCATGCTTAGCTCTCTCTTTCCTTCTCCTATAACCGCCATTCACCCACGAGGCCATTGCAGCGAGCCCTCTCAAGTCAGTAAAGGTTTATCTAACCTTAAGCACAACCAAAGAGATTTCAGACAGTTATTTATCTTCTTGGAGTTATGAGGTTGTTATTCAGTCTTTTTATAACTTTGGAAAACAGTTTATTCTCTGTATTTAAGGTATGCTTCAAAAGATTACTCTCTTGATATAAAATTCTCCTGGTGTAATGTTTTACCAGTAAAAGCCCAAGAGGAAACCTATTTATCTTTCACCTTCTCCTTATACCATGTCTAAAACACATGTACTTAAACATACATAAACATGAAGATTATCTGAAGCAGGAACACTGAACTGTAATTGCTTGGTAATTTTTTTGTGTTATGTTGCTTTAATATGAGCGTTTCTCTTAATGTCTTGTCCAGCTCAATGTTTTAGATTTGTTGTTCCCAATTTGAATGTAGGCATAAAAAGCCTCTTGTTAGATATTTGTGGTCATCAATATTGTGTTATCTTAGCTATGTACAGAATGGAATCCTGAATGTGAAATATCCAGCTCCTTTTTGTTTTTGTAATTGTTTCCTTTAACAACCTCAGTTTAATGTATCTTGCAATTTTCAACCCTCCTATCCTCTAAATCCCTGCCTCAGTCACTGTACTCTACCTTTTCCCTTTGTATTTAGTTCTACTTCCCTATGATTTCTTCTGTTGTAATTGTCGTCTTGGAGCCTAGCTACTTTCCCAGTGTCATAGCACGGACATGAGATTCCATCTTGTGCATGCCTTGCATGATTCAATCCAGTATGTTTACTGGTGTTGGCCTGATTCTTCCTCTGTCAGTTTATTTATATATAGTGTTTGTTCCAGTGTTAGTGTAAGGTTTTGAGGCTGCATCCACATTGAATCTTAAAAGAAAGTAAATTACACATTCAGTGTATTCTAGGTGATGTTTTCCAGGGCTTGGATGTGACAGTGTGGTACCACAACATACAGTCACATCAACTGGAAATGCACAGCACTGAAGTTGGTGTTGACACTCAACTCAGACATGCTGGTGACCTTCCAGCCCTATATCATACATATACATGCATGCATAGAATCATTATCATATGCATGCATGCATATGTTTTTGTGTTTATCTTATGCATGATGTTTGTGTATTGTTAGTTTGTAGATAGTTTATTGTGGGGCCCTTTTAGAACTGAACCCACTTTTGTATGGATGTCTTTAAGCTATAAGTGATTAAACTAAATATATTCTTCTGTGTATACACACACCATACTTGTATGGTCTGTATTATCCACAGTTTTTTTATGTCTGTTTTTGGACAGTTCACAATACGTTTCAATTGTTTAATTGTGTCTGTAGATTGCATGTCATGTGTTTTAACAACTCACTGTTTTTCGTGCCTTGTATATGTTATCATCTTCCCTTGTGTTTTGTTCCAGTTCGCCGTGTTCCACCAAGATTCTCTATCCCACCCACTAATCATGAAATCATGCCAGGTGGAAGTGTTAATATCACCTGTGTGGCAGTGGGGTCACCAATGCCTTATGTGAAGTGGATGCTGGGGGCAGAAGATCTGACACCTGAAGATGATATGCCAATAGGAAGAAATGTCCTAGAACTGAATGATGTAAGACAGTCGGCAAATTATACCTGTGTTGCTATGTCAACACTGGGTGTCATTGAAGCAATAGCACAGATCACTGTTAAAGGTATGTTCAGTGGGTTGTAAAAACTGGGCAAACTCAAAGCACCTTAATAACATCCTAGAAGGTCTATTCTCAGAATTCTACAGTGAGTCAATTCATCATTCAGTATTTCAAACATGTAATAACTTAATCATATCTGTGCTATTATATAGAATACCTGTATGTAGATTGGCATATTCTTTCTTAGAAGTATTGACAAGATAAGCTGGAGATAGCTGTCAAAATATTTAGCAACAGACCAGGCCCAGACAAAATTAGGAATGTATAAAGTCTTCATAATCATTCAGAGTCTTGATAAAGACACAAGAACCCCATTGTAAAATCTCTGAAAATAAGGGGAAGAGAAGAGAAAGAATTGAAATCAGCATTATCTAATAATACATGCTCTAAATTTTTGATGGATCATACCATGAAAACTCAAAGTGCAAATGGCATTATGTTCTGTTTTAGTTTTATGTTTTACCTTTCAAAGGTGAGTGTTCATGACATACTCTTTTGGAAACATGCACAAATATATCCTAAGTAGTATGCTCAGTGAATATTTTTGAACACAGAGAAAAAAATGAAACACATAGGACTTCAAATTGCTTTTACCCAGTATTCATACAGTTCTAGAAAACTTGAAAATTGGGTCAGATTAAGGGTTTTTTAATTTTTCTGCCAATGTCTATAGTTATTACAAAATAAACACAAATTGTCTTCTATTGTAGGCAGTAAATATTTGAAAACACAACATGCATCTTATAATTTTCATTCTGCCTCCAATGAGCATGTATATCAAATGTATTCCATGTAAAATCAATCACATGAGGTGAGAACCTAGTGTTCACTATCGGGATTTATAGTTACACTTATTTAAAATAATTCATTGTCTATTCTTGAAATAGTAAATGTACAGTGCTTATCTGTACAGTACAGATACAAAACACGTATTATACAAAAAATGTGAATTTGTGAAACTAATAATGTCAGTAAATACAATTTTAATTAGCAATATTTTTATTTTCCTTGAAAGTTCAAGGAGATACTTTGGGGAAATCTGAATCACCCAGTTCTTTAAAAAATGTCAGGCCAGGGTATTTGAACAAATGTCTTTGTATTATTATTTTTAGTAAATTCCCCTGGTTAAATATTGTCATTTATACTTCTTAGAGTAATATGCAAATATTAATTCACCTCTTTTCATAATAACTGCCTGAGTTTTAAATATTTGAAGGTTTCTGAAGGCCTTCAAGAATTCAAAAGCAGGAGTTGCATTAAACTGCCTCTCCCTTCACTGTCTCATCTTGGCTTTCTTGATGCTTCACACCTCAGTACCTTTTGTACCTCTGAAAAAAAGAAAGCATTTGGGTGAATCTTAAAGGCAAAAGGTTGAACTAAATTGAAATTAAGAGTTTAAAGAGGCTGAAGAGGGTGTATACTGACTGCTTCACTCAGCCATTTGCCAATTTTCATTTATAACTTCCTCAGGGCCAGGCAGTGTGCTTGGTACTGCAAACATAGCACTACAGTACAAGTGTGATACTATTGGGAAGCTAGCATTCTAGGAGGGGTTGTAATTTTTACTTTTGCACTGAAAAGAAAACAGATACTATCCTGGTAATATGAATGTTATCCTCTGGTTTATCTCTTAAGAATTTAGCAAGCAGAATTCCCCATTTTAGAGTCACTGTTCAGAACTAGCCCATTAAATAAGAGGTCACCAATTTAGATAGTTTGTATCCTTACAAACTATATTTTGAGTTGGATCTTTTTGAGTTGAGTTCTGCTAAAAAGAGGAAGTTGAACTGATGAAATAAGTGCATTTAAATGCAAATATTTGTCAGGTAGCTCTTGTCTCAGGTATATGTGAAACAGATTGTAGAATTTTAATATTACAATAACATATTTTTTTTCCTTTTTTCTTTTTTCTGGTACTGGGGATTGAACTCATGACCCCCTGCTTGTAAGGAAGGTGCTTATGCTGCTGAGCTAAATCCCCAGACCCCTACAATAACATATTTTTAAAATGATTTGGAAAAAGGTCTTAGCTCCTTCAACTTTTTAAACAAGAACACACTGCTATGAAATTATCATTTTTGTCTTAAAATTCTTTTTCTTTTCTTTTTATAGTACTGGCGTTTGAATCCAGGATTCCTTGCATGCCAGATAAACACTCTATTCCAACTCTACCTTAAAATCCTTAAAATCCTCTACCTTAAAATCCTTATAAATCCTAACTTATTTATAAGAAGTGTTTGGTAATTTTTTTATGAATTGCAGCTAGTACTCTTTCATAATAATCTAATTCCATTGTAGTATATTCAAAGATTTTTTTTCTTTTTTGTGTTCAGTGAGATTGAATTATATCATTTGTTTGTTGAACAAGGGGTTAAGTGGCCAAGATTTTGGTATAAAAGTGGTAATAAATTTAACAACTGTTTATTGAGTGTGCCAGATACATTGTTAAGAGCATTACTGGATTAGTTCATTAATCTTCACAGAAAACCTGTATGATACAATTATTCAGCTGTACAATACAGTCCCAGTAATAATTTCTATTTTTCACATCAGGAAACTCAAGGAAAGAGAAGTTAAAGAATGTATCCAGGGTCATTTAGCTAATAAGTGGCAGATTTAGATATAAGCCCAAAATATATGCTCTCAAACCTTTTATAGAAAAATGAGATTTGTACCAACTAGGTAGCTTTCACTGTACTTTTTTTGTCACTTAAAAAAAAACAATCCTTTGCATTAATTTTTATCAGTAGATTCTGATCCCTATAATTCTGAAGAGCAGTTAATTGCTTGGTGCATTGCAGATGGTTATGGTTTTTTGTTTATTTTTTCCTCTCCCAAGCCTTACCCAAACCTCCAGGAACTCCAGTGGTGACTGAGAGCACAGCCACGAGCATCACATTGACATGGGACTCTGGGAACCCTGAGCCTGTCTCTTACTACATCATCCAGCATAAACCCAAAAATTCGGAGGAACCATACAAAGAAATCGATGGGGTGGCAACCACGCGCTACAGTGTTGCGGGACTCAGTCCTTACTCGGATTATGAATTCAGGGTGGTTGCTGTCAACAACATTGGGCGGGGGCCTCCCAGTGAGCCTGTGCTGACACAGACCTCAGAGCAAGCACCTTCTAGTGCCCCAAGGGATGTCCAGGCACGGATGCTGAGTTCCACCACCATTTTGGTGCAGTGGAAGGAACCCGAAGAGCCGAATGGACAGATCCAAGGATACAGAGTTTATTATACGATGGATCCTACCCAGCATGTCAACAATTGGATGAAACACAATGTAGCTGACAGCCAAATCACTACTATTGGTAATTTAGTGCCCCAAAAAACATACTCTGTCAAAGTCCTGGCTTTTACCTCAATTGGAGATGGTCCTCTTTCCAGTGACATACAAGTCATCACTCAGACAGGAGGTAAGCTCATATCAGGGTGGGGAGTAGGGCAGGGAGGGAAGGAGGATGGTCCTAGGAGGCAGAAAGCACAGAAACAAAGAAACAACAAAGAGAGTATGAACTGATTTTTAAGATTTGGTACTAAACATTGAAGAATACTTAAGCCTTCTGAAAAGGAATATACTGTCATCTGAAATACTAAATAACCATTCAGGCAGAGATCTGTTGGAAGGACTCTGTCATTAAGAAAAAAATGTTATACAAGAATAACTTGAAGATTTTCCTGCATGAGGTGGGTAAATGCTTCTGCTTTGCAGCAATTAGAAATCAGAACAGTATGCTTTGTACCAGTAACTCTGGGCAGGATAGTCTCAGGAAAGTATTAATTTGAATGAGGTTGGATGGTTCAAGATAAAGCTTAAAACATTAATGGGGTCTCTTATCAGGGGTTTTTATTCTCAGAATGGCTTGGCATTTTATTTTTCTTTATATATGCTCCATGGTTTAAGAGAAATAGTTGCCAAGATCTCAGATCAAACTTCGGGGCGTAATTGACTGATTTTATAAGGTGCTGGAGCAAACAGCAAACTACCTCAGGTTGAAAACCTGGACTCTTTGTTTTCATAGGAGATTATAGAATCTCTTATAATTGATTCAGAGTGATCTGTTTTTATTTATGCTGGAATATAAAATAGCATCTTCTAAAGCTTATTCTCAAGTATCAGAGAGCTACTTATGTGACTTGTGTTATTACCTTGTAAATTCGCAGTAGTCTTTAAACATTTTGGTAGCACACACAAGAACCCTCTCATTGGGGATAACATCTATAATGTAAAAGTGTAACTCATTGCTAAGTTTGGTGATCAGTTGAATTTTCTTAGGTGTCAGGACTGGTTAACCCATTATTTGGTTTCATTGATACCTGTGTTCATTGACCCATTGACTCAGTTTCATGGCATGGCCTTGGTTTTCTTAATTATGTGATTTAGTATGTTTTCTATTTGCTTTTGCTATTGGTGATCTCAGCATATTTGTATCTTGTATATTTTGATGTTTATACTGTTACTTGATTATCCTTTACTTGCTTATGGATTTATTTTCCCTATTATAAAACATAGAAGAGCTATAAAAGTGTATATAAAAGTGTATGTTTCACTTTAATTGTACTAAATGTTACCTGCTTCCTTTCCCTAGTTGGCATTTGTAGTTAATCTGGGTTTCTTTACTATATTAATATGCAGGAAAATATTGTGGAATAATTTTGTCAAAAAAAGCTTTTTGCTGGAAAATATAACAGTCTGTGACTTTGTTCTAATTTTTCTTGACTAAAAGTGGTCGTCTTTCAGAATATTTCTGATGGTATTTTAGCAGTTCCGTAACCATGAAAAGATGGTAAGAAAATATATGGGAGCTTAGATTTCACTTGAAGATTTTCTAATTTCCATTTTGATTTTTTTAACTTCCCCGTTTTGAATCACAAGCTACCATTTGTTAGTGTTGTGACCTTGGAGAGGTTACTTCTCTTGACGTGTTGATCAGCTTTTCCTCACTGTGCCCCCTCCCGAAAAAAGTTTTATTTTGGCTCATGATTTCAGTCTGTGTAAGCTGGCACCATTGCTTTAGGGTCTGAGGTGACACGTAAGATAGAGCAAAACCGCTCTCTTCATGGACTGTGGCAAGCAATTAGAAGAAAAGAGAAAGAAATGGCTGGGGGCCCTGTGTTCCCTCCAAGATCACATTCTTGGTGACCTCGCTGCTTTCAGCTCCTAACCGTTCTGTTAGCTTCCCAGCGGCACTGCAGAATAGTGACCTAAACTTTAGCCTGTGGACATTTTGGGACATTCAAAATCCAAATGGTAGCACTTCATTGTGCTTCAGGCTTTCTAATCTGTAAGAATCACCACCTTACAGAATTTTGTGGGCTTGTGCTTGTTTTCCCAGACTTGCTGTAGTGAAAGTACCATGTTCTGGGTGGTTTTGATGGTGGGAATCTATTGTCTCACAGTTCTGGGGCCGGGAAAGCTGAGAATCAGGATGCTGACAGGATTGCTTTCCCCTGAGGACTGTGTTCTGTATTGACACCATGTTTGCTAGATGTAGAAACATCAACCTCTCTTGACCTTCATCTTCACACGTTCTCATTACAAAACAGTTTGCCTCCTGTTTTTTCTTGTGTAATGACCAATCATAGTGGGATATAGCCCACCCTAATAACTTCATCTTAGCTGATTAAATCTACTGTGACCATATAACCCAATGAAGTCACATTCGGCAATAATGGGCATTAGGACAGTAACACATGAATCACCGTGTGATATAATTCAGTGTAAGAGAGAGCTGTGGGTCACATAATGGACAAAAACATTCTGTAACTTAGTAAATATAGTTATGCTAATAGCTAATATGTACCAGTCACAGTGCCATGAACTTTACATGTATTCTCATGATCCAATTAGGATTGTTCCTGTAGCAGTGAGTAAATTGATAATCAAGTCATATGAAAATTTGGGGACCTTGCTTTGGGCCAGAAGATTACTAAATAGAAGAGAATTTAAATCCAGGGCTTCTGGGTAGTTTTTAAAATCATCGTTATCTTTCTAATAAATTATATCTTAAGTTGATATTTTTAGTGTTTTTGTGCCTACTGGATATTGAGTAAATAGAGACAGAAGAGAGGAACAGTACCTCATAATCCAAATTTTTCCTATTTATAGTACTTTGAGAATATAGTAAACTTTTCTAACATTCATAATTGAGGGGAATCTCTTGATTTACTAACAAAGTTCATATTTTTCTAGAAAAACACAGATTTTAATTACATATAATTTATTTCTGATATATTTGAGGTTGTTAATAGCTTATGCCAGTAAAAAGTACATTGAATAATATAGATATGAAAAAGTTTAAAGAAGTGGGAAAAAACTGTGCTACATAATAATATGATAGTAAATAACTAAATTTGGTATATAAGTTTTATCACTACCAGTTTAAATATAGAAATCTACAATGTAGCACATTCATCTTTATTTTCAGAAAACAGGAGGATTTAGCTTCCAAAGAAACAAAACTTTCATTTGTGAAATTTCTCATAAAATGTATATCCTTAAATATTATGAGCATCATTATATTTAGAACATTAAATTACAGATGCCTGTGTCTTTAGTCACAAGTTAGTTAAAAATACAGACATTATACTTGCATAGAGTTTATTTTTATTTTCACATTACTAATTGAAATAATGTAACATTGATTCAGACTCAAGAATGATATAGTATTATGAAAGTAGCAATTGAGTTGACATAATCCACACTTTTTGTGAAAGGTCTGATTTAGTCTAAAGATAAAATTTAGAAGAACAGATCAGTGAGTCATGGTTGTATTAGAATCGTTTCCAATTTAGTTTTGGCTCTTTTTTTTTACTTTATGAAATTTCCAAGACCCTTTCATAATAGTTGACTTTTAATATCCATTGATTGAGAAGATACATAGTGACATAATGACTTGTGCCTTTCACGATCGATAGGCTAAGAAAACCCTCCAAAATAGCACAGGGATTTGATCTGTTCTATCGGATTAATTAACATAGGCCATTTGATGTTAGTGGACAGGAGCCAAATACAATGATGTTCTGATATAATTACTGGTGAGCTGCTTGTTTTTGCTGACTAGCTAATTCTTAGCATCACTGCTATATAAAAACATCAAACCATTATGAAATATTTCTTTAGCGAGGTTGTAGAACACTAAAGGAAATGATTGTTTTCAATCTATTTTATCTCTTCTAAGCATACAAAAATGTGCTGTTTAAAAATATATATGAATGTGAATATGTTTTAATTACATATACATAAAAATGTACATTTGATGCCTTCTATACCTGATAGGAGTGCATTAAATTTTATTGTCTTTCATTCTCTAACATATTCCTCATTTTGTTCAAAAACATATTCAAAAGAAATAGTACTTAGAAAGAAAATGAACTCAAGAAGGAAGTCATCAATTTGGTTCTTATCTAAGATAATTGATAAGACAATATGATAATATGATAAGACAATATGAATGTGTATTTTTCTAGAAATAATATGACCTATTTTTAAGTGGAGAATATTTCCCCTTGATAATGAATATTATCACAATTGACTATTAATTCTCAAATTATTATAAATAGAAAATAATTTGGTTACTTGATTATTTGCTAGAAATGTAGATCAGTCTTCATTCTTTAACTTAACTGTAACTTCTGGTATAACACAGGCAGCTGGTTTATTTGGAGATAAAGCATGTAGAATGGAAAGCCATTGACAAGGGGATTACTTACACTGTGCTAGAAAAATATGTTGATTTTTAGAAAACATGTACAAAAAAGAATAATCACCTTATATAGATAATAATAAAAAATACGGTGAAAACAGAAAAACTCCGCTAAAGAAATATAACAAATTACATCTTAGTTATAATCCAGTGAAATACATTTTGGTTGCTGTCATGCTAGGTGGAACCATTCTTCCCCTTCAATCCTGATGTGTGTCTGATGTCTGAACTCTTCTTAGAAAGTGTATCTGACTTCAAATTTTTCTGTGCATTTCATAGATTGTTGAGAAAAGTCTACTGACTTATATGGATATACCTTAATAGGATAGGTCTTGAAAAGATAAAAAAGTATACGTAAAAAATAAAAAAAACTATTAATGGTATAAACTTTGAGTATTGTTAAGAACTGAATTCTATTACAAATTCTAGGAAGTGGAATAATGTTAAATGTGAAGTGTTAAATATGGGCTATGACATTTAGAGATACTGTGCTTTAGTTTTCCAGGACTTTATTAATCATTGTATGTATGGCAACAGGCCAATATAAGCAAATTTTAAAAACCTGCCTTTCAATTATCAAAATTGTGAGCTAATTCAAATGCTTTCTATGAATACTTTCAGCAATAAGTAAAGACCGGATGTAAATACAACTGTAATAAAATTTAACTGTCTTACTTAATGATGGTTGACAGTAAAGCTTGTGGAAATCCTTGTGTATTAAGTATCTGTTTTGTCAATGATATTATTTGTGACACACGTCAGATTCCTTGTTTGAAATTTGTTTTATTTTACTACCACCATAACTCTGACTGTTACTTTTACTGTTAATATTATCATTTGTCAGTATGCCAGAAACATAGTTTTTTGTATTATAAAAATAATAGAAACGTACATTTTAAAGTATGTATATTGTGAAAGTATTATTTAGTTATAAAAGGTTTTCTAGTGTCTTTGGTGATATTTCATATTCATTATGTGAGAAGATGAAATGATAATTTATCTGAGTAATATGTGCCTGTTTTATCTTTTTAGTGCTATTCCTAAGTTTTACTCAAATACTGATTGGTTCGTATATTAGCATTTCAGTTACCTATGGCTTTTTCTTTCATTTGTTAGACTTTCTTCATCTTCTTTCTTGAGTCCATTGAGATATTTATATAAAATAAAGCTGTATTAATAGTCAAAGAATTGACATTTATTGATGAGGTTATAAATTAAATTTTCAGGGCTTATATTTTTATTTCCTATGGACATTTTATAAGTAATCAAGAAGGGCATAACTTTACAGGCTACAAGGATATTTTAAAATACAGTTTTAAAGAATTTTGTACTGCACTTTCACTTTTGCTATAATTTGGTAATAAATTTGGTGTGTAGTCAGTATACTTACAGTTCCTATTTTAATACAGTGATTCTGTTTGAAGTTCTGGGTGTATATGTTTATTTTGTCTGTAATTGAAAGAATTTCAGATTTTCATTAATTGATGTTTCATTTTTTGGTGATAGAAATATTATACCATTGAAAAGAAAATATATGTATACAAATAACTAGTTAGTGAAGTAAAAGAATAGAAAATGTGATGCATAAGGACTGAAAGCATTGTATGTGTATATAAATATAAATGAACGTGAATATATATTTATGGAAAATGTGAATATATGTATAAATTAGAAACATGATAGATACGTTTTTTGGTATAAAACTTCAGACAATGAAAGTATCTATATTTCAGAAAGGTACCAAAAAAAAAAAGAAAAAGCAATTGTAACAGACTTCAGTCCCCTAAAACATTTTCTTTTATGCACATTTGATGAATATTAGGACTACTGTATTTGGGAATTTAAAGATACATTCATTCATTCTGCACCCCTTCTTATTTTCCTTCAGCTTTCATGGTTGTTTCAAATACAAGAATATAATCTCTGAGAATATTATACCTTAGGTAGTATTTTAGTTCCCAAGAAAGTCTGAATCTAACACGCTGATCCCATGTTTCTCATGAGAGGATAATTTAAAACATTGGTCCATATGCTGAATTTCACTTAGACACACTTTCTCCCATTCTGTGTTTTTGAAAACGATTTATATGAAACATTAAGAAATTTTGCCTAGAAGATTCATTGGCAACTTCTAAAAAAAAATCAGATCTCTAAAAACCTGGACCCACTTTCTATATCTGGTGGCACTAAATTTGACCTGTTACTTTTGAGACAGGGGCTATCTTTCTGGCAGCATGAGGTCCTGTAGCATCCTCACGCATCTCATTAGTGGTCTGATATCTCTAGCCATCTGTATTTCCAGTACGAGTTTACAGTTTAGTCGTGAGTTTTTTCTTCTGCACTATTTATAAAGGAGACTATGAAAAAAAGAGGAAAGGATTCCTACATATTACATGAAGACATCAAGTCATCTGGCTAAGACTCTCTTTATCTAAGAGTAGAAGCAGCACTGTACCCTCTGATACTGACATGTCTGTTTAGTCTGTTATTTAGAAGGAAGGGGGATCATAATAAAACCAGAGAATTAGAAGATCAGACAAAGCTTGTGTCACTAAACAAGAATGAAGCATTGAGACCAACTGGATATTTACTCAAGACAAATTAAAAGCAAAAAGTAAACAGTTTAAATAAGAAAAAGTTAATCTGTTTTCCAAGATGTTTTCAATCAGTGTCTATTATTAACATTAAGCAGGGAGGAAACATGCACCAAACAATTATTATCCTGACAGCAGCCCTTTAGCGCTCTGTCTCCAGTTCTTGACAATACTTAGTTCCAATTTGGTTTGATGCAAGAGTTTCCTCATATTTCCTTCTTTTCCAGACTTATTGAAATTAGGGGAATGAAAGATAATACAACTAGAGAAAATAAGTGACTTTACACACACATGTGTATGTGTTGTTTAGGCTGAGAAATGCTTTTATGCCCTGAATATTAGAAACTGATTATAATCTTTACATCTGATTATTCTTGTCTTCCATTGCTGCTCTTGTCATTGCCTTTGGTATTTAGAAGTAGTGCATTTTGCCTTTCCTTTGTGGTTTGCCCATGTGTTTTTATTACCCTCTGGTCCCCCTTCTCTTGCTCCTGGATCTTATTTGTTATCTTCTTCTGTTTTTGCCTCTCCATCTGAATGAATGATTGTGCTAGATTAGCCACTGGGCAGGCACTGGAAAACAAAAATTTGATGCCTTGTTCAGAAAGTAAGTTCCCAGAAGCATTAAATTAATGAGAATTTCAAGGTCTATGATAAAAAGAAAGAAAGGAAAAAATGATGAAGGCAACTGGAAATGTGAAACACTGATTATTTGTGGCCTTAAGCATCAATCCAGACATGAATGAGTAGATGCACTCATACACATACACATACACATGCTCACATATATTAACAGACACACCATGGCACTGCCTGACAAAACAGGCAGAGCACTGAACTGATCATTAGACCTTAAAAACCACCACTGTTGAAGAGCCCTGCAGACATTCAATCTTCCTTTAAACAAAGGACATTTTAAAAATTTCCTTATTCATAACGATAGAGAGATGATTCTAAAAGAGAACGGTATATTTTATACTCCAAAGTCTACTTTTCTTGTGCAAGTGTTTCTAGCATTATTTTAAAGTTATCATCTGTAATTTGTTTTATTATCCAACTTTCCAAAGATGTAATTTGGAAAGTTGTTCTCTTCTGGTTTGTTTGTTTTTTAATAGGCATGGAATTCTCATGTCAGATTGTGGGAGAATAAATAAACCCATTTGGAGGTGCATTACATTGACATATGCCAAAGTATCAAGGAAACGGTTAAATTATTTAAAAAATAATGAGGTGTTATTGCTAGTTAATTAGAGCGGACATTGACCAAGAAGAATGTAAGATTAGGTGTGCTAGTTACACTTTAGCCATACGGTAGGGTTTTTTTTTTTGTTTGTTTGTTTGTTTGTTTTTGTCTTTTTCATTTTTGTCGGTACCGGGGATCGAACTCACAACTGCCTGCTTGCAAGGCAGGTGCTTATGCTGCTGAGCTAAATCCCCAGTCCCCTATACTGCAGTTTTGAAGGAGAGAGGGCAACTAACAGAATGAGGTACTGACTGAGAAGTTTAGGTTAATAAAAGTTACTTGGGTAAAATGTTTTAAATTTTGTAGAATTCCTGTTTAATGCATGTGATCATTGCATAGTTTGTATGATTAACATGAGATTACTAATATTGATTAATTGTTAATGTATTTCTGATATTAATTGCACCTTATGAATGTGTTAATTTGTGTAGTAGATTAGTTCCAAGACAGTAGGGAAAATACTACATTAAGTCTAGCACATTAATCTAAAGTAATTTTGAAATTAGAAGTATTTTTGAAACTATGGATTGGTCAGAAAAATGCTAGATGGTTCTGATTGCCTATGTGTGGTCTATTAATGGCATACAGGTGGGATTTTAGAGGTCTAAATGGAAATGATTTAGAATATTTTGTGTAGTGGAAGAGAGTAAGTTTCCATGTAGTTATAAGTAGTAATAGCTTTTCTGCATTTAGTATTTGTTTACATAATTTTATTATCCTTAATATTGAATTCAGAGACATATATACATAATGCACTTACTTTACATTGTGTCTACATTAAAGTACTCACAACAAATCAGTATTTACCACATTGTTCTTGGTTTTGGAAGAGAAAATAATAGGTTAAGTGCAAAGAGGTTAATTTGAAAATCCTCTGGAACCTTGTTCTCCATTAAGCTGAGATATGTGGGCATACCATGAAGGATTAAATGGTTGCACTGCTGGGAAACTTTGTGAACATGGTGATGGTGAATTTAATCCTTTATCTCCTTCTTTATAGTACCAGGGCAGCCATTAAACTTCAAAGCAGAACCTGAATCAGAAACAAGTATTTTGCTTTCTTGGACACCTCCACGTTCCGACACCATCGCCAGCTATGAACTGGTCTACAAAGATGGGGAGCACGGAGAGGAGGTGAGAGCATACTGGTCACTTCACTGCTTTTCATCACTCTGGGCCACTGCTTGACATTTATGAATTTAACCAGGTTTTTGCCTAGTTATTTGCAGGGGAACTTTGTTTAGAATTGGTATTCACCAAAAGAGCAATAGCACCTCCCCCCGACCCCAAAATAACAATGGTTCACAGAGAGCCTTAAGGCAAAAATAAAACAAAGTAAAACTCTTGCTCCATTCTATTCACATTTCCAAGTTTCAGGTTAGAGACCTATGCAGTTGTAGAAGAGATACACTAACACTTGGGGACTTCTCTATCATTTAAGCACTTAAGCTGCTGTGGTGACAAGTGACTGAGTGAGCTCTGTATGCTACTGGAAGTCATTTGCAAGTGAATTTGTCTGCAGTGGTTTTAGAGGAAGATGCAAATAGCAAATATTTATTGACATACTAAAGTGGATGAGATGTGAATATACATAAAGGGATAGTAATTTAGCAAATAAAGTAACAAGAGTACACAAGGCATAGAAATGAAAGCCATCATAATGGATACTTACATCATAGTGCACTGCTGTAATAGTTTCACATGTATAAATTCATTTATTCTTTAGGAAGCATTGGGAGGAGGTCAACTCTGTCATCATTCAATTCCACAATAAGAAAAGTTACAAAAAGTTAAATAAATTGCCTGTCTTCTACTACTAATTGGCAGAGGTGGATTTAAATTACACAGTTTTCAAAGTCTGTTCTTAACTGTTTTGATCTAATCCGTCTTGAGTTATATTTTGAATAAATGGCAGAAATTGACATTAAGATATTGAACATCATCACAATAAGAGTATAGAAATGTGAATAATGTATTTCCTTCGTTATTGTGAAATCCAATAACAACACTAGTACAAAACTGTTAGTTTAACTATACTTGAAAATTCGATGTATGCCAGTCATTTTATTATACCTCTTACAATTCTTTATCTAAATAGAAAATTGAAAAGCAGAATAGTACCTTTGTTCTAATAAGGAATACATTCTTAATTTAAACATTCATTTATTAAATAAACTACTTATAAACTAATTCATGGTACATCATTTTGAATGCTATAATAAATTCATAGGTTCTTATAAATTTCTGTTTTATCTGTTTGCATTGAGCGAAATCTCAAGGGAAAACTTTAAATGTAAGTTTTTAGAATTAGCTAATAAAGACCGTATAAATTATGCCTTTAAAATTACATAAGTGAAATCAAGACATATCTTAATGGTACAACTTGAGCTCTTGCTTTTTGTGTATCATAAATCATCATTAAATCATCAAACTAAAATAAAAACACACTCTAGAAGAATGGTAAACCTGTTAGAATACTGTGGATGCTTGAAGTTTGGGATGTCCAGTGTGCTTTAAAATTATTTATCAAAATAATTGTTTTCTTAATTTCATAAATCTAAAACTTTGAGAATATTTTTTTAATTTGTAAGCTAGAATACAGGGATGTTTTCTTTAGCATTATATTTGAATTCTCCCTGACTGTTTAGTTTTTATAAATATCAATCACTACTTGATAAAAACCTTACGGTTATTTACACAATTATTAGATAACATATTTGCTTTCATTTTAAGATTTACTACAGGCTAATATTCAATGCAAGATTGATTACCGATGTACAACATTCAAGCAGAACATTTCAAGTGTATATGAATTATACATTTGATAAATCACCTGCAGAAGTCTTATACAATGTTACAAGTTATAAAAGTTTCTAAGTTTATTATTGCATATTCTATATTCATAAGGAAAATGGAAATTCTTGAGTCATCTTAAATGAACCTAGAGTAATGGTATGAATATATAGAATTTTTTCCACTTTCCTGAGTAACTAACATCAGGTTTTTTCCCATCAGAACTTGGCAGTTTCATAGCTGTCTCGTTCCAACCTCTTGGTAACCGTACATTAATTACTGTTGTTACTTCTGACCATATTATCTTTGCCCCGATCAGATTGCAGAGGGTCATGAGGATGAACTGGACATCTGTTTAAATGAAATTGTGCCTGTTCAGCATATTCTAGTATTAGGGGCAGGTGTCAGTTTCTGTTTGTTTTCTGTCATAGCTACATAATGCACCTTTCGGATGGGGCACATTCATGAGTGTACTTTTCAGTCTCCTTTTTATCTGCTGCATTTAGATAACTTTGTAAACATTCTAACCTCTGGCTTCCCTTACTCCCAGATAGCCTGTCTTCTCTTTATATTTTAAAGAGAATAAAACCAATCAAAACAAACCAAAAGATGCAGGACTTTAAAATATTAAGAAATTACCCAGTAGTTATCATAATGCCTTTTGATGTCTTCAAAATAGCGGCAGATAACTTCAGACATAGTAAAAATCAAACAGAACGGAATAGAAACAATAAAAACAAAGCAATGAATGCAATAAAGAACTTCAAAACAAGCCTATAGTAAACCCAAAATTGTTACCATTGAAATCTATCTTTGAAATGCTGCTCCTACCATTGGATTTAACATAATCAAACAAAACAAAAGAGAATAAAACTCAATGAAACAATGGATACAATATAAGACTTCCAAAACAAGACCATAGGGAATCAGCAATGGCTGCAACCCTCAGAAGAAGATCCTCCACTACATGTCGCACTGTGCACCGCTATCCTCTGAACCTGTGATCAGACCATTGGTCCTACACAAGCAATGTTAGTGGAACACCAAAGCACCACAGGCATTCAATTGTATTTCACCTCCATAGCTATTATCACAGCCTGTGTTTCTCCAGATAAGCCGGTCGTTTACAGCAGAGTGGGATGGAGGTTGGTACTTCTTTTTTGTCAGCCTGTGTGCAATGGAAGAAGCTGATGCTGTCTTCTACAGAAACCTCTTAAACTGTAATATTTTAATTATATAATTCCCCTAGTACAGTTTTTGATCTTCCTCTTGATTCTCTTGTGATAGTTTGATAACTTTATAGTTCTAGTGACAGAAATCTGATATTACAATGTGATTTAAAAATATTTTCATAAATCTTAATGAGGACAACCAAATTCTCTTCTTACAGCAACGGATTACAATTGAGCCAGGGACATCATACAGGCTGCAAGGGCTGAAACCAAACAGCCTGTACTATTTCCGTCTGGCTGCACGCTCTCCTCAAGGCCTGGGTGCTTCTACAGCTGAAATATCAGCTAGAACCATGCAATCAAGTAGGTGTCTCTCTTTGCTTGCTTTCTGACCATTTTGAACTTGGAGATGTTTCTGCCTTTGTCTCCACAAACAAACTCACTGATATGCTAATTAGTCCATAGTTTGTATGCTAGCAAGCGTCTCACTTTGGGGATCAGTGCATAGACTAAGTTATGCTGGTTTCAAATGTGGTCCAAATAACAAAGCCCATTTTCCATTTCCTAAGTCAAAAGTCTTTCAAAGAAATCAGTAGACTTCCACTGCTGAAAAGTAAGTGAAAGTGGTTCATTTGGATTCTTGTAGAAGAATTATAAGGCTATCAGGCAAAATTCATATTGAAAATACTACAGTGTAGTTTCAGGGGACATAGTAAATAAAAAGGCAACAAAAGACAAAACTTTTATCTTTTTTAAAGTGTTTAGGCTTTAATTTTGCTATAAGCAAGTCTTTGTTTCATATGTCTGTTTCATATGTAAGGGAAAAAAGCTCAGTTATTATGTCCCGTTTCTTATTAACTTTGCAAATAGTACATGTGGAAATAAACGTTCACAGATCTGTGTTTAGACAATTTTAAGAATAATGGAGTAATCACAAGCACATTTGCAATCCTAAATTGTATTTTCTTTTCTCAAATTCAATTTCTTTTTGGAACTTTGCCCTTAAGCATAATTGTATTTGTTAAGATGGGGATTATTTATGCCCATGGTATGTATATATAGATATATATGTATATATCTATATATATATATATGTATATAGATAACATGGAATATTATATAGGAAATTGGTTTTGATGGGCAGTGTGGGTAACTTACAACAAATACTGTTCTTTACTCTTTAATAATATCTATAGTTTACAGACAACTATTTATCTTGGAGAGTTTTACAGTATTTTGTGCAATATCTGTGCTTTTGACATAGCAATATATTCAGCAGACACAAATACTATGAATATGTTGAGTCTTATCAAAAAGATCCTCTGTAGACTTCGTATCTAGACCTGTCAACAAACATGAAATTGATGTTTTTAAAAGATTAATTTCCTTTCATATGTACGATTTTTTCAGCATTTCATTTTCTATAGAAAGTTGAAGTCTTTCATGACTTTGAGGGTAAAATTTATATTTTTTTAATTAAAACGTGATTATTCATGTGAAATTTGGATATTGTTGCCTAACTTATTCATGATTATAGTTCTTTTTCCCATAAAATTCCTTTCATGTAAAAATTGAAGCATGTAAATTACAGCATTTTTGTATATGTTTGCTTTGAATTCTATGCAGTGAATGAGTAACACTGAGGAAGATAATTCTTTTAATATAAGACATTTAGTTAAAAATATTGTTTCAATAGCATATTTTGTCTAGTTTACACACTTAACTTTAAAACATAAATACATGCCTAAATATATAATGGACTTTTTGTACCAACATCAAGAAGTATCAACTCAATTAAAGTGAAAATTTTAAGCAGCACTAAATATTTTGTACTAGAACAGGAAGGCAGTGATTTTCACTGAAGGCAGTGATCTAGTAAAAATAAAATTAGCTTTTTAAGTAAGAATTACAAATGATTCCTTGCTGTTTCAGGAATTACTCAACTTATGAATATTGATATATATATATATATATATATATATATATATATATATGTTTTATAATTCAAGATAGAAGAACCTCAAGTTAGAATCAACAAAAATGATATTCTAGTGATTTTGCAACTCTTACTTCAAACTCATAAGACTCTCCTATAAGAATATTTTGTTTTGTGAGTGAAGGGAATTTTTCATTTTGATTGACAGTTAATGATGAACTCAAAGCATGTGAACTAAGACAAAACAATTAGATATACTTTACACTTCATACTTAAAATGTTAAGACTTCCAGAGTCTTCACATGCAGTAGTGACTGCACACTAGGTACTCTGGAGGCTGAAATGACAGAATCACTTGAGTTAGGAGTTGGAGACTTCCTGGGCCACACAGTGGACTTCCATTTCAAAGGAAAAAACAAAATTCCCTAATATAGTGTTAGGAAATCCTCAAGTAATTTTAAAACATAAAGTTTAGGGTGATGTCATTAATACTACCATAGATACTGCTTTAAAAATTATGTATATATATTTGAATATCTTAGCCCTCTTGTTTGTCCTTCTTTAGGATATATACTATTAACTTTAAAAAGTCATGATCATAGTCATGTTGTCCTTTATGGTGTTTTAATTTTTTTCAAATAATGATATATTTGGTTAATTTGATGGAAAATAATTGCTCAGAAAGTGACTGATTTATAATGGGCACTATGAAAGTTTCTCTTTTAATTCTCATGTGAGCACACTTCATTACCATAATTATGTACAAAGCAAAGACTTTTGCATCTAAGTCATACCATCTCTTGGTTTTGGGGTTCTCTTTTAAAATAGTTTTTTTTTAATGGCTGTGTTGACATTTTGTAAGGGATAGATAATTATTACTGATTTTACCAAAATTTGCTGGTGGGATCTAATTCTTTAGCAATGGTGTCTCAAGAAGAGTTATAATAAAAATGCTGAAAGCTGACATAGGGTAAGTACATGTTACAGTCAAAACCAACAAGCCTGACATTACCCTCGGGTAGGTAAATCTCGGAATATGCATTTCATCCTTTATTGATTCTGCATGCTTACTGTATTGGAACTGCAGTCAATGTTAGGGTAACATCCTTGATTACAACTGCTCAGGCAGACTTGAGACAGAGTGTAGCCTTTTGTGTTTGGTGGGCTTTTTATTTTATTTCTTAAGTTAGAAGTGGTGGAAGGGCATGTAGCAGTCACTGTAACTTCTCACAGTGAGTTCTGTGACTGAATTCACCTCATTTTAGAATGTAGAAATGAAAATGTAAAATGCCTCTGTGCCTCATCATCAGAATCCCAAGTTTAAAATGAAAACTAGCTTTGTTTGTAGCTTCGGGGGCTGGACAGTCAGTATAATGGGGTGGGAAATGCTGAGGGATTCTTTTAGCAGAAGAATTTAAATCTCAGGTAGGTAACTTTATTTGAGGCTTGATTATCTCAAAGTTTCATTTTCACACATTCCCCCCACCCATTATTTAACAATTATTTTTGGTCATTTATTCATTTCTTTGATTTATTCATGTTACTAAGCCAAGGTACATAAATGTGTCTTTAAACTTTTAAGTTTCTAAGCCTTATTTTTATTTTGTTGTCCTTACTGTTCGTTTATTTATTTTTGCCTTTTCTTTTGTTTTATCATTTTTTTTCCAACCACTCCTGTCCTTTCACTCAAATCCTCCTTTAACTCACTACCAAAATAAGAGCCGTCAGCTCCTCCTCAAGACATTAGTTGTACCAGCCCAAGTTCCACTAGTATTTTGGTAAGTTGGCAGCCTCCACCAGTGGAGAAGCAGAATGGCATTATTACTGAATACTCCATCAAGTACACGGCAGTGGATGGGGAAGATGACAAGCCTCATGAGGTTTTGGGAATTCCTTCGGACACTACCAAATACCTTTTGGAACAGCTGGAAAAATGGACTGAATACCGGATCACTGTGACTGCCCACACAGATGTCGGCCCCGGCCCTGAGAGCTTGTCCGTGTTGATTCGAACCGATGAAGATGGTATGTTGCCTCCACTACGTCAGTTTGCACCCTTCTGCCAATCTTGGTCTGCTGTCTTTTGATAGGCTAAACGTTGTCCACTTTTCTCTGCTTATCTTCTTGGCCAGCATTGCTGTTACTTCAAAATTTTTGCCAAAGACCTGTCTTGCTGCGTCCTGAGCATTTTTGCCCCAGTCTCAAGGCACTGATTTTCTTGCCTTTGAAAGGACACTTCTCTGTACAGCCAGCTAAAGTCTTCTATGTTTTTCTTGGCTTTTTATATTCACTTCTTTTACATTTTGAAGTTAACTTTCAAAACTGCCTTCTTTTCTTCTTGTTTTTGTCTTGCATATTTCAAAGACACTGATGCTCAACATTTCCATTTTTGGCATCTGTCGTATGGAATACCTTTGATATGAGGAAAAAAAAGAAGACAATGCATATAATCAAGAATCTTTTTATTCTGCTGTTTGAACAGAAACCTTTAAAAACACACGACAATCAACAATCAGTTTTTGTTATTATTTCAATGCAATACCTCTTTGTGCTTTAATGCTTTGAGCCTCAAAGCATCTTCCTTGGCTTTTGTACATTTTTTTACATGTTTTTCTATTTCTCTGATACTCTTTTTTTCTTCCATTTTGTTTTTTTGCATTGGTCATGTTTTTTGATCTTTTCTTAAAAGGTAGAGCAGAGTGGTTGAGCATTTTCATTGGTTGAAAATGTTTGTATTCCTCAAAGGAAGCATAGTGGGTCTGCCCATTTTTAAGTGAAGAAAATGCTCTGACTGGGTGGGACAAGTGCCTATAATTTTCTTTTATCCGATGATGTTGTTCCAGTTCCTAGTGGTCCTCCTCGCAAAGTCGAGGTAGAGGCTGTCAACTCAACATCTGTTAAAGTCTCGTGGCGCTCACCGGTGCCCAATAAACAGCATGGCCAGATAAGAGGATACCAGGTGCATTATGTGAGGATGGAAAATGGTGAGCCCAAGGGCCAGCCCATGCTGAAGGACGTCATGCTGGCTGACGCACAGGTGAGCCTCTGACGTTACCTACCTCTGATTTTACACAATTGATTTACATTGCTCTATACTTTGAAATTGACCCCCATTTTATTTCTCTGAGGCTTAAAAAACCTACACATAATTCTAGATTTTGAAATATATTGATGTTTACCTTTGTGATCCCAGGGGGTGTCAAGTAACAAAATGACCCTCCAGTCTGATTAAAAGCATGCCACTGTTTTGTGAAAATACAAACATTCAGCTCTTTGCTACTCTGCCTAAAATTGCCTTTCTTAAGAAAATTTGTTTAATCAAAAGGAAGAATTTTTAGCTGCAGGTTTTGCTGATAAGATCTGCTTTCGGCTATACTACAACTGTTTGGAATTAAATTAATGTAATTTTTAAATGTATGATTGCTTTCCACTCAAGAACTGACATTATATAATGTTTAAATTTTTAAGAATAAGAAGATATTTGTATGTAAAATATATACATAAATAAATATTTACACTTTCTTAAAAAGTAACTGCCATTTTGGTTAAGAGAATGATACCTGGAAAGGATTATTTTATGTAATATTTCATCAAGTTACATATTTGATGCAACTTATTGTTTCAGGTTCCAGAAAATGAAGAGAATCTCAATGATAACAAAATTTTAAATTTCCCATCAAATAAATGAGATCCTCTATATTGAGTTAAGAAAATTAATGAGTAGTTGAGTACATGAAAACTCTTTTAGTACTAGTGCTGTGTTTCATAATCATTATTTCACAGGTTTTTGTTTTGTTTTGTTTTGTTTTGACCAGGTTTTTAAAACAAATCAGTGAAATTTTTCAATGTTTCTTCTTAAGTCAAAGGTGATTCAAATATAATCATGTATTTTCCTGAAAGGAAAAGAAATATTAGCCATGCTGGGAAATGACATGTGAAGTGTGAACTAGCTTCCCTTTTCAGCGTCAAAGGATAGTGGGTTTTTGCGAATATTGAAGTGTTTTGTCCATTCAGCAAACTGATGGTTGAGCAAGCAGAGATGGCAATAGTGAAAATGCCTTCACTTCTGTATGGAAATGGGAAAGACCCTGGGGCAAGTTAAACTACGACCATAGGTTGCCCAATTTTACATTATTTTTTTCTCTCTGAAAATGTGAGGACCATAAAGACCCTGGATCACTAACTATTTAGCTTTAAAGTCTTTATGTAAATCAAGCTTATTCTGCTTCAGTTCTGAAACTTTCTAACTGTATGCATCTAGAACTGGAGCTCATTTATCCATCCTAAGTCCAGCTGTATGTAATTGATTTGAAGGCCACTTTTGTACATGCAGGTAGAGAGTCCTGGTATCCCTTTGATATCAGAAAAAGGGCCTGACTATGATTTTATAGGCCTTTATTTTGTATTGCTTTATAAACTAGTAAGTTCTCATAACTGTCCTACACTGATGATTACTGTGTTTTATTTTATAAGTCTTCAATTATGAAAAATAAAATATGATCATCTTACCTTGGTTCTTAGATCATTTGCATTACAAAACAGTACATCTGTCTGTAATTCTAATGCCAACCCTATTGAATTCCAACTGTATCATTTTATGTCTTTTATCTACTTTGACTTTTTTTTTTCTCCTTTCCACTTTGCTTTTCTTAATTGCTGGTTTTCCTACCTTATTTTTCCCTTCCCATCTAATTTGTTATCTTTGACTGTTCATTGAAACTTCGTTACAAAGCACAAGTCTTCATTGGGGATATACAATTGCAATGAAATGAAAAATACTAACCTGAATTGTAACTTGAAGCATGTAACTCAGGAAAGAAGTGAAAATAAATATTAAAAAATAGGATGTGATTACAAGCACTAGCTTTGTGCTATACCTTATTGGTTTCCTTATTTCAGTGAATAATACATTTATATAATTATTTATATATTATATAAATGTGTATATATATGGCTGGTTTTAGTGGCAGCAATAACACAGCCTATTTAATTTTATGTCCAGTTGTACATTTGTGTATGAGGATGGCTAACATAGCACACTTACATTCCTTTGAATGTCATTGTACACATTGTTTCAGTTACTTAATTTCCTTTTTCTTTAATCAAAGGAAGGCAAATTTGCCTTTATAAAGCAATAGATTTCTCTTCATTTTTTTTTTTTCATTTTGTTTCCCCCCAACCTTCTTAATCTCAATCAGTGGGAGTTTGATGATACTACTGAACATGTGAGTAATTTTTAACTGCTTTGTCAAAAAAAAAAAAGACTATATATAATTTTTATATCATTCCTTTACTCTTTCACAGTGTGCATGAATTTGTCATCACTATTTGCTTGGATGCATGAACTAACAAACTTTTTTAAAGTTATCTTTACTTTGTGTGCACTTTTTGTTTTGGTTTTTTGTTTTACAAAGTCAGCATGATGCTTCTTACTGCATAAAAGCCATGGGTTCACCACAGTTCTTTTGATTTCTGCTACTAACTGCCTGTGCCACGCAGAGGAGGTACTCTTTGGGTGTAGGCATTGCAGACTGAAGTGTCAAGTTGTTGCATAGGTTTTTATAGTCCTATCATAAGTTAGATACTCCATAGATAACCTGATAAAGATCTGGCATTGATTAAACTCCCTTTACAAATTTCTCTTTTGTCTTAAGATTTGAATGAAAGGTGGACCTTCCTAGAAGCATCTCATTGAGAGAGAAATGTTTTTTTAAATATATTTAAATAGATGGATTACATTATTGTGAGCCTATGTAAGGTACTGCAAGGAACAAACACAGGCGACATCCACCCCTCAAGTGTTTGCAGTCTGGATAGCTAGAATATGTACAGTTCTAAACAGGTCTGAAAAATATAGCTGAAGAAATGGCCTGAAGCCAGGTATAATAACACTTTAGGAAATGAGTGGCAATGTTAGTACGAGCTGTGGGTTCAGAAACAGTTAATCATGATGCTAAAAGAGATCCTAAAGTATGTTTGACAGCTTAAGGGATGACAGGAGATTGGATAGGTGAAAGGGAAAGAGAGGGGGAGATGGAGAGAATGAGAATGAATGAGAATGAATGCTGCAGGATCAAACATGGGAACCACAGCATTTTGCATTACACACAGCAGAGGTAGCCATGAATGCAATTGCCACCGGTCCAACTGATCATGACCAATCACCTGACCATGACCTTGCCAATTTGAAAAAAAGGAAACCTTTGCATAAATTATTTATAAATACACCTAAGTAGTAAATTATAGTACAGTGTTGGCAAAATCCTAAATCTAAACGTATAGGGTCTTTCATTCTTCATTCCTGGGGAGATACAAAAAAAAAAAAATTAAAATGAAACATAAAGTTTGTAAGGATGGTATTCTTTCATTCAATATATGATTGTATTGCACCATCAGAAGACTTTTTTTGATTCTTGGAAAAATCAGTATCAAGTGTAAGTCCTTATAGGCTGACAAGGTGGTACTATGTCAAGACTGTTAGTCACCGTATACCTGAAACAAATAGGTTAAAGCAGGAATGGTTTACTTTGGCTCATCCTTGCAGAGAATCAGTCCATGATGAGCTGGGCCTGTTGGTTTCAGTCCTGTGATGAAGCAAAAGGGCGTGGCAGAAGGGCAGGGCAGAGGAAAGCTGCTGAGCTGATGGCAGTGCAGAAGTAGAAAGAAAAAGAGCCAAAAAGGAAGGGCCCGGAACCTGATATATTCCCTAAAACCATCCCGCTGTGACCCATTCTCTTCCTCTAGGTGCCACATTACCTTCTAAACCTTCCCATAGAGCCACGTTAGAGCCCACATCCTATCAACCCCTCCCCGAAAGCCCATCAGTAATCAACACTTCACATGGAGCATTTGTGGCAGATACATTTTGAATCCCAACTATAATAATGACTCACAGAAAGAAATACGTTTGTTATGATCCAGTGTACACATATGCTTTACTGAAATAAAAGTTTTAGAAAAGCATACTTTAAACACATAATAAACTCTACAAACATTTTGTATTCAAATCTATCTGTCCCCCACTTTTTTGTCTGTTTAAATGCTGGTCATGACTCAGATAATTTCATTTCTTGATCTACTAAATGGCATCATTACCTGCTTTTTAAAAACCAGTGACTTAAGGGACAAATTAGAATAAAAATCAGATAAAAAAGCAAAGGAATTCTTTTAATAACTTAGTCATGAAGTGATCAAACTTCAATAAAGTTGAGGTGGCAGAAGTGAAAAAGGGAGCGTTATGATCAATATTTTAAAGGAAGATTTGACAAAGGCTTCATGACTGAGAATTAGGAAGAGAAAAAGGTTAAAGATAGTCCATGAACATTAAAGCTGTGTTCCTGTTCATTAAACTATGTGAAGAAGGGGTCTGCTTCTGGGGGAGATTTTTCAGTTTGTTACAACGAATTTGAGATAACCCTGGAGTAATCATAGGAAAATATTCAGCAGACTTTTAAAATTATATGTGCCACTTTAGCTCAGGAGAAAAGTAAGGCGTGGAGATGAATCGGGCTATAGTCAGAAGTAATTATTTTAGGATTCAGTATTTAAACAGATTTTCCAGAACTGGATACAATGACAGCGTATCAGTGCTGTAACAAGACCTCAGCAAGGTTAGCTTTACATAAGATAAAAGTGGTGGCACAACAGGAAGAGACAAGGAATATGGGGAAAGATGACCTTTGTATTAGACACACTGCCTCGTTGAGGATCTTGGAAACCACAAAGGAAGCACCCCCTGATCCTTGAAGAAAGATACCCTAACTCCTGAGGTGATACAGTTTTGGCAAACGGATATGTGTCCAGCTGAGATCATCCCACTGAAGACAATTCGCCAGCTTCAAATTATGTTACCTGTGGTGCCCTATGCCAACCTGAGCAAGAGAAAGAGCATGTGTGATCAAACCTAGGTGTATGAGTGAGAAGCTTACAGGTGGCCCAGGCTGCGTGCATTTAGTGCCAGTCACCTTGGTAGTAGAACCAACCTTTCCTTCTTGTGAGTTTTGGCCTTGTCTGCTTTTCAGCATTAATCTAGGGCGACTTCCAAAGTTGGAATTCACCTAGCACAATTTTTTTTTTGAACAACCGATGTATCTATCTTAATTTAGAATAGTGCTCTGAAATGGCTTACTTTATTTTGATTTCCTCTGAAATGTCAGTGAGACCATTTCAGGGTCTGAAAGGAAAATATTTTTTACAAATGGTCCGTTTTTCTGACAGAAAAAAAAAAAAATCTCCCATGGATCACAGGACGATTCTGAAATGCTTCAATTTCCACAATGATGATATTCCTACTCTTCTGAGAAAGCACCTTGTCAAAAGCTGTCATATTTGAGATCAGCATCACCAATTGAGTTTGATAGTACCCGTTAACAGCCTTACTAAGAAAAATCCTACACTGCTTCACACAAACTATCCTGTTCACTTAACACTCACACTGCCTTTAGATTTGGAATTCAGTGACATTGTGGATTTTCTCAAATTTACCCATATTCAATTTTAAAACATAGATGTGACAGAAAATTCCAGGGTTTTATTTGCTTTTTTGTGTATTGATTTGTGAATGGATGTGTTTGTATGTTTGCATGTATAGCTCTGAAGAAAACACTAGAACAATTCACTATCCAGCACTCTAACTAAGGAACCTTGTAAGCTCGGATTTGAAGGAATGGATTCAGAGATCCTCTGGTATTATAGCCATCACAGCTATTGGACTTCACTCAAAGAAAACTAAAAGATTTTTTTACACCGTTGTGAGATTTAACAGTTTCTAGTCAGGCTTCACTACGTATTAGTGCTACTGAAGGTCTCAGATTCTGTTATATTCTTGTTTTATGGCCTGCTCTGTAGGTTACCAGAAAAGTCTCTTCATTGTATAATGATTTTGTTCATAGTTTTTACAGTTAACTGACAATGAGTTCTGGAGTCCTAAGAAAATCCTTGGGCTCTCAGAATATCTAGGTCCAACAGATCAACCATCTGGCAAACCGCTTACCTGGTGATGGGACAGATTGCACTTGCATCTGCCCTGCCCCCAGTCTGTGGGCTGGCTGCAGTAGGGATACAGGGAAAGCTGTTGGCATAAAATAACAGCTAGTTTGGGAAACACTCCTGTGAGCCAGGCAGCCCTGGCTGAGTTAATCTCCCAGCAAACTCTAAGACTCTATTATTATTTCACCCTTGAGTTGGAAAGTGAAGGTATGTGTTGTTAAATTCCCTGGATCTGTGTTACCAGCCTAGAGGGTATTGCAGATTTAGATTCAAGAGTTCAGGAATTCTAGCTCCAGATTTTGAGGTTTTCACTAATACCTCCTCAAAGCTGCTTCTTAGGATACCTGAAGACTCAACTTCAATTTTAGCATGCCAAAGGTTCTTCTAGCATGAGCTGCAAGCATGAAATCTCTATGCTTATTTAGCATAGCTTCAGAGACTGCCCAAGCATGCACGGAAGGAACATAGATGGTCTAGTTTTACCCAGATCATTTGTGGCATGTTTGGACTCAGTGTGATTTTATTGTGTCATTTCAGGACATGATCATTTCTGGGCTACAGCCTGAAACCTCGTACTCCCTCACTGTGACAGCCTACACCACGAAAGGAGATGGTGCTCGCAGCAAACCCAAACTGGTGTCCACTACTGGGGCAGGTAATTGTGTCTGTGTGTATCTGAGTCTTGAGCTAAATGGTACTAACGTTGCAGGTGATAGGAGTGGAGTCTGTTATTCTTTCATTGTGATAAACCTCAGAGGAAGGAGGTGCATTATGGTCAACTTTTGTGTTTGATATTTTTTCTTCTTAGTTCAGGGGAAAAGTGCAAATGCAAACTTTCCTTGAATTATCCAGTTAATCAGAAAATACTTTCCCAATACCTAGCCTGTGTCTGGCACCATTCCCATAAATGTAATCAGCCCTCATGTAATTCATTTTCTGCCCTAGATCATTTACTTAATAAACAAATGTGTGTATAATAAACTGTCAGTATATAGGATGAAAAATGAAGGTGCATAGGCTTACTAAGTACCCAAGCCTGTCCCAGCTAAGGTCTTATTAAGGAAGAGTACTGAAGCTGAAACTTAAGGGTGAAAGAGCTTTGAACACAAAGGCACAGAAGAAAGCATGTAGGCAGCGAAGACACATAATGACTTCGGTCTTCCTCAGAGATCAACCCTTTCTTAGAAGAGCTGCCATCTTGGATTTGTGTGTAACTTCATTTTATTTTTGTCATTTTCTGTTCCTTCCCTTATGCTGTTAGGATTCTAAAGAAGGCAAATTGCACAAAAGATAGGAAACAGGAAGGGAAAGGAAGAATTTCAAGACAGCTAACTGATATAAAATTGCTCCTTACTGAAGAACAGAGCCTCTTTGGTGTTCTTTTGGTTTCCTCTTACTTGGCCACATAGGAAAAGCCAGCCTGAAAGAAGACCTGGCATTGTAAGACTGATAAGTGAAGGGAGCCTTACACGGGGGTTCTCCTCCACTCCCTTCATGGAGCAGTCTCCCATGGAACACTGAAGCTGTGCTTTGATTTCTTCTTCCTGAATCACTTCTCAGACAACTTTTTAGGAGCACACCTCTATGTAAAGGCATAAAGCAAAGAACAGCTGTGATGTTGAGTACCCTCCTGGGTGCCTTGATCACTGACAAATTTGTCTAAATGTCATAAGATTTGCCTCACTTGCATCCCGCCACCTGGAATTGCCTCAAGCAGCAACATTACAGATGGCAAATCTCCTGTAAGGCAGAGTCGTGTGTGTGTGTGTGTGTGTGTGTGTGTGTGTGTGTGTGAGAGAGAGAGAGAGAGAGAGAGAGAGAGAGAGAGAGTTTCTTAAAGAATATTATACTATCTGCTCATAGATATAGCTCAGTGGCAAAGTGCGTGCCTGTAAAGCACAAGGTCATGAGTTCAATCCCCTATACCAGGAAAAAAATAATATAGTAATTATAGTATCCATCTAATTTGACTTCCTAATTAGGAAATCCATGTTCGTGAGGGGCATGATGGTAAGTGACTAATGTATTAAGCTCCTGAAATTGTAAAGAAAATTAAGGAAAATAGATCTCTTTCACATACTTTTGTAACAATATGAAATGTCAGGGGCTGGGGGTTTAGCTCAGCGGCATAAGCGCCTACCTTGAAAGCAGGCAGTCGTGAGTTCGATCCCCGGTACCGATAAAAAGGAAAAAGACAAAAAAAAAAAAAAAAAAAAAAAAAAAACAATATGAAATGTCTAACATGACACTCCAAATTCTTATTGTCTATTACATGGTAGAGGACGAAGTAGAGAATTTATAGCAAAGATAATTGAGTCATTGAATAAGGAACAGTTTTATCAAATTTAATGTCATTGAAACTAATTTATCACTCATTAGTTACAGGGCAGAATATTTCTAAGAAATGTGCATTTTATTGATAAATACAATTCTGGTGGAATTTTAATTCACAGTTTCAAGTCTTTCTTAATCAATCGAGTCTTGGGTGTTGGGATGGAAAGGCTTATAATTTAGATTCCTGAATATTTACGTTATCATTATTAAGCCTGGGATGAAAGTAAGACCACCAGACTTAATCATCCCTTGAAGAGAAAAACTTATTTTCCCTTAGTAACAATGTATCCATTGCCACCATTTCCTAGTCATGATTTGTCTATATGCAATTAGTGAGCATATTAATTTGTTTTATTTTGTAGGCTGTCACAAAAATATCCTTATATACTCAGGTGGCTGAAAATTCAAGAATTCTCATGAAATTTTACTGTTACACTACAAATAAATCCTGTATTTATTAAACATTTTTTGCTAGAATCTATAACCAATCATATCTTTGAAACAAAAGTTCTGGTCATCATTTAAGTAATCTGTGTACAATTTATGTAACCTGCAGGACGCTTTTGAATGAAGCCCTGGCTTTTATGTTTCAGTGATTCTGACATGATTTTAGTTTCTCTGTTAATATTCCCATTGTTCTGTATTGTAATAATTAGTTTACTGCCTGAGGCATTGAGATTTATGTTAACCAGACAAAAATCATTAGTTTGACAGTTTTATATCTTTTACGTGAATTTCAGTATCATATTGAATAGCTATATTTAAGGATGATCAAAAGATGGCAATGATGTGGTGAATTCTGGAATAATAATAATAATAACAGTCTGTACCTACTATTGCTTTGTGTTTGGTTGAATCGAGGCTATCTTAGGAGCCGTTGGACTGAGACCCTTGGTTGCCCTCTGGAAACTGATTTTGTGAACTGGGTTAACTGCATATGTATACCATTTCTGAACTACTAAAAGGGGGAAGAATAGAATACAAGAAGACAAAACAAATTAAGGAATTCTATCCTCACCATAGCAAAAATAAAATGGCATAAATATAACCCAAAGGGCGAAAAATTTCTATTCCATGATATAAATTAATGTGAGCTTATTCACCTTAGAGTTGGCTCTTTTCTCTTCTCCATCATGTTTGTTAAGCCCCTCTGAGATATTTAAGAGTCTTCCATTTGGACAGCCATCGTGCTTTAATACGAAACTAAGCAGAATGATTAGCTTAGTGGTTGGTATGGCTTTTAAAAGTAACCCACATAATAACTCTAGGGCATCAAAAATCCTGAGCAAGACTTTTTGTACAGCACCATGTCTCCCACCTCTTCATTGTCTTAACTCTGGAGAATGAGATGTATTAGATGGCATAGCCCTGTGTATCCATCTTTCCCAAGCAGATGCCTGTGTGGCAGAGTATACGACGATGTAGACTGGGAATAGCTAGTAGGTGATTCATAATACGGTTTCTGGAGGCCCCAGATGGAATGGTTCTTTTGCTGTTAATGAATTTCTGAAGAATCCTATTGAAACCTGTATGGAATGCTGTACACTTCTAATTTCTTTTCTTTTTTAAGAGAAAATCTTATTTGTTTCCTGGGTGAGATGATACAACTCACCAGATCCTTAACCTTTCATTTAAACTGCATGTGTTATTTCTATTATTCATACATTTATGGAGGATTAAGACATCTCTTCATGTGGCCAGTGCCTCCTGCAGTAGTATTAGAAGTTCTTCCTCTTCCTGCCTCAGTGTTCATTTTTTTCCCCCGAAATCCTATATTTATGCTGCCTCGTGCTTCTGGTCATATTGTGGGTTTCAGACTCAGACTTCTCCCTGGCAAAGGGGTAATCTCATGACTCTGGCAGTGGATAAGAGACTGAGATGTTCTTGGTACTTCAGTAGAAGCCAGTAGGTCAAAGCTGATGCTATAACTCCTAGAACATCATTCAATCTCAAGATTTCAAGCCAACTGTCCTTCATATCCCAGAATATGAAAGTGCACGCCAACATGAAGAACAATGTATATTTTCCAACCTAACTTTGACTTCCACAGAAGAATACATGAAGATTTTCATAGTTAGTTTGCTTTTTTTTCCTTAGAATTTTCTGTTAGTTACATTTTTCCAGATTGGTTGGTACCTTACCAGTACTGTATGCTAAAATGAAACAGTAGAAAACAGTAGCACAGCCAACAAATATTAGAATATAATTTATATTTGTGGTTTTTATCAGTATATTAAAAATACATCTGTTTAACCTAGCTTTCTATGCATTTTAGAAGTAGAAGATACACAGTGTACTGACCATTATGCAATTTCTTGGAACCAGATTTTTGGGAAACTTTAATAAACATTTAATAAAATCCATTGTCCCTGCTGAATGTGAGGCTTAAATAGTTACATTTCTATCCCCAGAGTATCAGTTGGATTTCATTCTTAGTATTTTCTGCCTAGAGCCCCACTTGACTATAGAGTTTTTTTTAACACACTGTAGTGTTTCATTTTTATCACATCACTCATATTTTAATAGGCAAGTGACATAAATTCTATTTATGCATAGAAATTAATGTAGTCTAGCAATGTCTACCTTAAAGTGCTACAATGATAGTCAATATATGTGAAATAAAATGTGAATACAATTTTAAAATATAGGCAAAGTAACCTCTCTAAAATGGCATATGTTTGATAAAAAAATAAATGAAATAATTCAAAACTTACAAATAGGTAAGTATCAAAACTTACAAATAGGCTCTGCTGTATGATTCTCTACTTGAATATAAAGATGTCTAGATGTCTTTTCCCAGAGATACATTTAATGCATAATAGTTCAGTTCCCAGGGCCACTCTTAGCACATGTTTATATAATTGCCACTATAAACTTCAGAAGCTGTTTTCCCATACATTGTAGGTTAGCTAAATTATATAAACTTAGTATATAAATCTACCCATAGAAGCTTACTATGAATATTCCTAGCACATGAGCCAAAACTATTGCTCCATTGGTTAAGGATAAAAACATGTCTTACAGAATGTCTTGTTGAGCTGAGCACATCTCCTTTTAGGCCACAGCTTTTTGATTTTAGAAAGAAGATAAGCAGTCCCTGAGATTAACATTTTATGCTTCATCATGTTTCCATCTTTTTTTTTTTTATAACCTTGTTATTTTCCTCTTTTTGAGTCTTTTTCTTTTGATAAATTTGCTTTAATTTTGTTTGCAGTTATGTTTTATTCTCTTTCCCCATCTTTAGACAATACCTGAAGAAAATCCTGATTTTGTTGATGTCGTTTGCTATATACTGCAGGAATAAATTAGTCTCCTTTAAAAATGTATATATTAGAGTATATTAGACCTTTTTACTGACCTAACTTGACTTTAAAATAAATCAATTCTGTATTTATGTTACTAATTCCTCACCACAAAAAGCATGCCACTATATTCTCATTCGCTAATCCTATTCATGACGCCTGGTGCTTCCTAGCAGACTAAAGGCAACATAATTTTACACTCTTTTTTTTCTTAATGTGTAAGCAAAATGATGGCCTCAATACATGTTTGGGCTATAGATTTCAGAGCAAACTTTGTTCTGTACCTTTCTTGCTTGTAGTACACCCACTTGGCAATGACTGAAATGTGGACATCCTACTAGCTGGACTCATCACCTTATCCCATGTGCTTCAGTTCCAGGGAAACCTCGGCTTGTGATTAACCACACTCAGATGAATACTGCTCTCATTCAGTGGCACCCCCCTGTGGACACATTTGGACCCCTTCAGGGCTATCGTCTAAAATTTGGCCGCAAGGACATGGAACCCCTCACTACTCTTGAGTTCTCCGAAAAAGAAGATCACTTCACAGCTACAGACATCCACAAAGGAGCATCATATGTCTTTAGGCTCTCAGCCAGAAACAAAGTAGGCTTTGGGGAGGAGATGGTGAAGGAAATTTCTGTTCCAGAAGAAGTTCCAACTGGCTTCCCTCAAAACCTCCACTCAGAAGGCACTACTTCAAGCTCCGTCCAGTTATCATGGCAGCCACCTGTCCTGGCAGAGAGAAATGGTGTTATCACCAAGTATACCCTTCTGTATAGGGATATCAACATTCCCCTTCTTCCACTGGAGCAGCTGATTGTTCCAGCTGATACTTCCATGACACTTACTGGCTTAAAACCAGATACCACATATGATGTAAAAGTACGTGCTCACACGAGCAAAGGGCCCGGGCCATATAGTCCAAGTGTCCAGTTCAGGACACTGCCTGTGGATCAAGGTAGGATTTGTCTACTTGTGGCCTTCCTCCTTTAAAGGAATATCAGTCTTTGGAAATCAGTATTTTCAAGCTATAAATAACTGATCGCCCCATTCATATTAATAGATTCAGCAAAAACAAAAAGGTAAAGTATGTAAAACTTCATACATTTTGGATGCATTAGGTTTCAGTTGTAGAATACCAAGCAAGTCTGGCCGACAGCACTCCCATGTTGTCAGGTAAGGAAAACACATTGTAGTTGGCTGAAGTGAAGAGGAAGGAGAGTTCTTTATAAGAATGAGTATTAAAATCTATGCTCTGCACAGGTAGGCAAATCACACTTCACTGTGCTCAATGTAGGCAGCACCTAGTATAAGCACTACAAACCGTGGTGAAAAGGACAGGTTCCATGTCTTTAAGAATAGTTTAAATACACTGTTTTTCCTTTTCCAGCAGTGTTTGCAAAAAATTTTCATGTCAAAGCAGTAATGAAGACTTCAGTGTTACTGTCTTGGGAGATTCCAGAGAATTATAACTCTGCCATGCCTTTCAAAGTAAGTTGCTTTGTATCATGGATAAAAAGTGGAAGGGGCATTTCATCAGGGTAAGTTACTTGTAAAGCTTGGTGACTGCTTAGATTTGGGCATCTACTTGGTATTTGCCTTTGTGACTTTCATGTAGGAGACTGAGTTTGGTTGTTTGACAACTTGAGTTTTCCTCTCTGCCAGTGGCAGGAGCTCTACCCCATGCCTGATACTACTGGTAGAAAATCTACTATTTTGAACTTGAACTTTTTACATCTAACTTAGTTATTTTCCACTACAAAATGAAATTCACATGGTTCACTTGTTATAAAACACAGGATTCTGGGAGTCTTTTAATTTGTTTATTGGTGCATTGGTATGTATAAAGAAAAGAGCAAATCATACATGTTTGTGAAACAAGGAGTTTGAATATATTTTGGAATGTAAGAATAAGCTTAGAATATGACTGAAAACTTTAGAAAAAATAATAATAATGTATTAAAAAAATTCAAGCATTTGTGTACACAGTGCATTTATGTAACATACAATATACAGGTCAAACATTGCAAAGTTAGTGCATTTTTTTCTTGCATATTTTTGATAGAAACATATCATTAGACTAAAGGAATTGATAAGAAAATTGATGAAATCTCCTCAACTTTGAATACTTACAGACTCAGGAATCACCCAGAGCTAGAATTCACCTGACCTAGATTTTCCAGAACTGAGTCTGTATTTTCTTAGACAATGCACTTAGCCTCTCAGGAAACCCAAGTTTTCTGTGGGTTGTGTGTCTCTAGATTCTTTATGATGATGGGAAAATGGTGGAAGAAGTGGACGGCCGTGCCACCCAGAAGTTAATTGTCAACCTGAAGCCAGAGAAGTCCTATTCGTTTGTGCTAACAAATCGTGGAAACAGTGCTGGTGGCCTCCAGCACAGGGTGACAGCAAAGACTGCCCCGGATGTGCTCCGCACCAAACCTGCCTTCATTGGGAAGACCAACTTGGACGGCATGATTACCGTGCAACTTCCTGAAGTTCCTGCCAATGAGAACATAAAGTAAGTGTCTGGAAGGGTGAGAGATGAGGGAAACAATTGCAGGTAGAGAAGGACATTTTTGTACAGTCTTTTGCTATCATTGAGATAACTGAAAATGAGAAATTTTTGTACCACCTTACTTGTATAAACTGACTTGTTTATTCATGCTGCACTTTCAAGAATTTCTACTAAAAAGTGAAAGGTGTTCACATACATATATTTTCATGCCACTTTTCTGAAATATAATTGCTCTGTAAAATGTTGAACATCTTTCATGTATAAAACACATGGGTTTGGTGATAAATATTCAGTCGTGAAACTATCATCAAGACCATACACATAATAGATATTTTTTTTAATTGACCACCAGAGTGCCAGGCAGTGTTTCATGACCCCATGGAGAGAATGAGCTCTTTCTTGTTGCACCTACACAATAGAGTTATATGAAGAATTTGGACAAGTGTCAGTCACAGCAGAGTCCTGTGATAGAGATTACATAGGAAAGACACGCCATGCATAACTTAACCCAGGCTAAGCGTGCAGCCTAGAGATCCTTAAAGAAAGTGACATATAAATTGGGGCCAGGGAAGGTGGCTGGACAGTGGAGCTGGGAAACACCTGTTCATATAGATACCATTGCAGAGACATGAGAGAGACTAGCATGTGTCCCCTGTTGCACATGATACTCACCTACCAAGACTGTTCAGCTAGGACCCAACAAATGTTATGCTGTGCCTAACTATTTCCAGTGCTGTATCTGGATATAGAGAGATGATTGAGAAAAACACCTGCCTCATAGTAGCAAAACAGATACAGAAAATAGATCATGGGAAGATAATGGTGTGACCACTTTTAAATACAACAGCAACGTAACTATGGAGTTTCAGTTAAATGTGGATGTCAGGAGAGGCACCCTAGTGTCTAATTTGAGTCTTGAGGATGAGAAAGATTTATAAAAGGTGAAATCGTAAATAATGAAAGAACAGGAAAAAAATATGAACTACAAAGTCAGCGCAGTAAAAAATGCCTGCCTGTTTAAGAATAGAACAGTTGAAAGATGAAAATAATGTGTTCACTAGAATAAATATTAATTTAGCTCTATTAATAGCTTTATTAATGACCTATGGAAGCTAATGCCTGGTCTCTCTTGTAAAGTGTCTTAGCTCTTGCTGGCAATTGCCATTTTTAGTCCATTTGTGGTAGAGTTTAGTTTCATGTGCCAACTTCTGAATGAAATGAAAAAATTACAAAATGTATTCTGTCTTTTAGGCTTTTTTAAAAGCTTATTCAATTTTCTTTTTGTGTATGAATGTTTATTCTCCTGTATTTGAAATAGGAGTTAGAGAAAGGGAATAAAACTGTGGTTACAAAGAGAAGAGACAATTACAGAATAGGGGAAAAAAAAGCAAACTATCATGGCAAAAAATTCTTTTCCAGAAATTAAGATTCCCAAAACTATATTATAGCTTTCAGGCAAGACAAAAGACCTTGTACTTTGCATTTGAGTGGAAAGAGCATCAAAACCATAATCCATGAAAAACAAAGAATTACTATACATATTTTTTCATAATATACATTTATATGAATAAATATATAAATCATTTATATTTACTTGGCTTCTTAAAAGGGAGATAGCAAAGTTAGCCATTATGTCTTTGTGCTGACTTATATGTTATGATGGAGCATTACAAGAATCTTTGTACCATCCTGTGCCTTTTGCAGTGGTTCGAAGTTCAGAGATGAGAAATGTTTGTAGACTTTGGTTCTCTGTGCTGTGGGAGATGTAAGGCAGGCAGCAGTACCCATTTCTGCCCTGGGGGGCCACTGCTAGCTTATTTGCATTTAGGAAAAAAAACACTTCCTATTTGTTCCCTAGTGAAATGTTAAGTTTGGCTATTGAAGACTGTTTTGTTACTAACAAAAACACACTTTTCTCAAGTTGGGAGAATGTGGTTGGTACCCTCTCTCTAAATCCTTACCACATAAATATAAAATGGTCTCTTGTAAGTATAATGAAGACATGGTTCCTTGCTTCTGCATTTTTACATTTGATTCTTGTATTGTCTTGTATAAAGAAGCAGACATCACCCCAAGAAAAGTTTAAATTCTTTCTGAAACAGTCTCAAGGGCAGGGCAGTTTTTGATACCAGGAATTCTAGGTCCTTGAACCTCATTTTTCTAATAGATTCAGTGGACAAAATGCTTGTCATAAAGTTTAGTGAATTTTCAGAGGTAATTGGTACTGACAGAGCTGCTCTGGCTTTCTAGAGCAGAATTTTACTTAGAATAGTTAAGAAACAAAAAATGTACCATGCAGTTTGTATTATGAGAAAAGCTACAGGAAGTAACTCAATGTAAATTATTTTCATAGCAACAGTTTTTTTCTTAGGAAAAATGGAAGTGAAGGAGAATGTTTTATGAAATTTTATAACTAGTTCCCCCATTCCTCTGGGACTGGGGATTGAACTCATGACCTCATGCTTACCAAGTAGGCATTTCAGCCACTGCGCTAAACCCCTGATCCTTATTTTATGAAATTTTAAATTTCTTTGCTTTTATTAATATGATGTTCCTGGATCTACTTTTACTTAAGTTATCTACGGAACTGTGGCTTGCAGTGTGGCTTTGCAAAATTAGTATACTACTATTAGCAGTTTAGTGAAGAATGATTCATCATATTTGTCAAAGTATTGAATGTATATAATATTTTACAATTGTTGAGGATATTTAAGATCTTCATTTAAACCTCATAAAAACACAAAAGGTAGATACTCTTTCCATTGACTGTTGATAGCAAAGCCAAGAGATACTAAGAGTCTTGACCAAAATCATGTAGTCGATGTTAATAATAGTTAATTCTGGTACTATTTAAAGGACGTGGCACTTGTTACTCAATCTTATCTCTAGAAAAGCCTCTTCATCATAGTTCATTGTGAGGTGCATGATTTGCTTTGGACATACAATATCCATATCAGACAAAAAAGACTTAAATTCTGGCATTCTGGCTCCAGAATTCACACCCTGATTCCCAACTTTCCCTGATACTGTGGATTTATAATCAAACCAAGATTTCCCCCATCATACCCATTGGAAAATACTTGCTAAACAATTAAGAGCACCCTCAGATGTGGCCATAATCAGGGCTGCCTAGAAAACCTGCTAGGCACAGAGCAGTGGTAACTGTCTGTCACTGAAACTGGCAGGCTGCCGTGAGATATCAAGAGTAGAGATAAAGGGAATTCATCCTCCTGGTCAGCATTGTCACCCCACCTTTTTGCAAATGAAGGAAAGATGTGTGAAAACAATGTGTCTTGGCTAATATCTCACAGCTAAAAAGATCTAATGCCTTTAATTTAAACACAGAAACTGGAAAGGTGATTTAACCTGCTGTGGTTTTTCTATCATGAATTAATTTAGTTTCAACAATATACACCCAGATGACCATAGGAGAAAAAAAATGCAAGGCTTGACGTTCATCATTAAACTATGAGACAGATTTTGACCTCTCAGTTAAATAATGAGTACAACAATGCTAAAACAGGCTTCTATTTCAAAAAGCCTGGCTGAATTTGAAGTGGGACTGCTGCAAAAACCAGAGCTTGCCTTGTCATATAATTATATGGATCTGGGCCCCTTGATGATAACATATTAAATGAAATTAGTAAAACTTTACTTAATATAATTAAAATTCTGAAGGTTAGATTTAACTTACCTAATTAAATCTAACATACTGGGAAAACACAGCTTACTTTATAAGTAGTCTAGGGCTTTCTAGAAATATTGATTCTGAGGTTATTTATTTTTCTAGTTTAATAGTTAAAGTCTCTACTGAAAAAGTTATTTGGAACCTAAACTCCAAGTTTGAAACAGACAAGGAAAGTGAATTGTACAGTTTAATTTTACATATGAAGTTGCATTTTTTCCCATTTCAAACAGATTTATTCATTCCATATGATTTGGTTTATATGAATTGGTAGGGCACATGTTATCTCTCAGCTTTTCTCCTCCTATCTGAATCATTTTATCTTACTTAATATCCATAAGATTAGAACAAGTGTCACCTGTACGTTGGTAAAGAAAAATAAAAAACTTTGTGAGTTATATTTTCTATAAAGTCTATTTGAGAATTCATTTACTTTTTATTTATTTATTTACTTACCTATTTATCGTGAAAGGATCTCAATATGTAGAGCCAGCTGGGCTTTAACTCACTTTTGTAGCCTAGGCCCCCCTCAAACTCCTGGCGATCCCCCTGCCTCAGACTCCCAAGTACTGGGATTACCACGTCTGGCATAGTGGGGGGTGTCACTTAGAAAGAAAGAAAAAAAACCACCTTGATTAAATTGAGAGTTGAAAATTCTGTTGAGAAGGACCTCTAAACATTTCCATTACCTGACTTAAGAGAGATGTCTTTGAGAATCACGGAACCCACCCACTTCCACTTTTGAGTGAAAAAATAAGTCAGTGATAAACAAATTTTGAGAAGATAATATGTATGTTTGCTATAGTAATATGTTTTCTAAATATAAAAACATGTCTTAAATGGTATAGGAAAACTTTATACTGAAACATGGTCTATTGAGATAATGTAATAGGGGTAACTGATCTAATCAGGAAGGAAAGTTCCATTTAGAAACAGTGAATTAATGTTTGAGGAAAAAGAGGTATTAACTTGGAGGAACAGAAGGCTTTAGGCAGGTAAGACAGGATGATCAAGAGTTTATGACAGAATGGATCAAGATCAATTCAAAAGCTCATCATGGGATAGCTCAGATGCTGTGGAGGGAAGGATTCAGACAGGCTTGTAATATGTTTCAATCTTCATCTGAAGTGAAAGGAGGCTCTATTGAAACACCTTAGAAACTCAATTTTGTATTGTAAAATGAAAAATTCAGAGACTAGACTAGAAAAGGCTACAGTCAATTGCAAAAGTGAGGAGTCGATTGCCCAGGTATGAGAAAATGTGGTAAAAACAGAGGCATGGCAGTAGAGACAGCTGCGTGCACAAGTGAGAACTTGGAAGTGAGAGCCCCAGGTGATACACTGTACATGAGGGATGAAGGGGGAAAGCAGGTTGTCTGTGACAACCCCTGACTCTCCGACATGTATACTAAAACAGATACGGTGCAGTATTTCTGCAAGATTTATTTCTAAAAGCCTATTCATTTTAACTGCTGTGAGGATCAGATATTTCGTGACATACATGAAGATGTAAAGCTGGAATCTGACAAATCTTTGGAGTTCAGAGAAGAGTTCTCTCGGCTGGAGACATAAATGTGTAAATAATCTGCATTAGTCAGTAACTTATTCCATGAATGAGCTCTCTTAGGATGAAAAAGAAGAGCAGGGAGAGAGAAGTCCTTAGCCAGAGCCATGGGGACATTATCATTTAATGGTGAGGTAGTAAATAACAAACCCTGGTAAGAGAATGAAGTTAGCATAGGAAGAGATAAAACTGTGAAAAACAAGCAAGATTTATCACAAAGAAAGAACTGACACTGTTTCATAGAATTTCTTACTAAGAGAATAAATTCTGATTGGAGGATGAAACAAAAAAGAGGGTCAAAAATTGTCCTTCACACTGTGGGCCCTGAGGTCCTTGGCAGTGTCAGGGACATAAATGATGAGGCAGGGACTATCAATAGGGACACTGAGGCATATGCAGAAGGAGAGAATGGGGAAAATAGCAAGAACATTTCAGGTTCTTGCAGAATTTTGGCAGACAGGTCAGGAGAAAGGGAAGAAAGGCGTGCTTGCTTCATTTTGTAAATGGCAGACAGCTGTGTGTGATTAAAGCCATGGGAAGGATCCAATGAGATGGAAAACGTTGAAAGAGGCAGTGAAGAATGGGTCAGGGGTCTAATAAACTTGCTAAGAAAGTGAGAGAAGGGGAACCGATTCAGGAAATAGGAAATACTTAAAACATAGAGCCTGCCCTGCTACTATACAAAAGGAAAGTTGAAGGTAGGCAGATGATGAGAGACTTCTTGTGTGACTGTCCCATTGTATCTGTAAATAAAAGCTAAGGCCACTTGATTCCTAAGTTTGAAGCTAGAGAAAAATAGATGAAAGGTTGTTATGGAAAATTGAAGAATTAGGTAAAAGCAGAAACTGTATAAGATTGACTTCCCAGTGGTGTGGAGGGCCTTACTGAGATTATCATCATGGATTTGTGGCATTATTCTACTCTTAAGCCTCATTTCTCAAGTTGTATTCAGCTCCCTGTGGTTCAGGCTCAGCAAGTGGCAACTGTAGATTTCAGTGGGATTAGAAGAGGGATGAGAGAGCCTTAGCTGGTGCATAGGGTAGCTCTATAGATGTTACAATGATTCTGTTGATGTCAGAGTTCTTAAAAAAGGGAGGAGAGCTACACACGCACGCACACACGCACGCACACACACTCCTACCCCTAACCGCCTAATCCTTCCATAAGAGAAAAGAGATGTTGGAGAAGTTGATCTTTCTCTGGCAAAAATGAGGGAGGGAAGAGCATCATATACATGATTTATGTGAACATTCAAAGGGATATGTTTTGTTTTTCAGCAAGAAGGTAGACAAAAAAATGCCTGTAAGCAACAGCAAGGAGCAAGCAAGAAGCCCTGTAGCCCTCCTGTGAGGCTCATGGGCAGGAGAGAAGAGGAAACATGAGAAGACTGCAGGGGAAGCAGTGTTCTTAGAGGAGAGCTGGATGTAGGTTAGGGAAAGACATGTATGTCTACAGATCCTCAGTTGTTGAACACAGAGTTAGAAAATGTAGATTTAACCTGAGCAAGCAAGATTTTCAATAATACAGAATTTCAGATTGTCAGTATCCCACTTCTCTCAGTATGTGTGAGCTGCTGTGAAGCACGCTTCACTTTGACTGCTCTAGATGAATGTTTTAGAAATCAGTAGAGAGAAAAGATTATAGATATCTGACCACGCTGGTAATTAATTGCTAAGGGAGAGGTGGTTCAATTCTTATCCCAGCCATAAGGAAAATGGATCGTGGGGCAGTTCTACTGAAGAATGGACCCTTTGTGTGTGTGTGTGTGTGTGTGTGTGTGTGTGTGTGTACCAGAATGACAACTCAATGTATGAAAGCAGACAAAAAATTAATAGAGCTCATCAGCTTAGCTTTGATTTTTATGATTTGGAAAGTGAACAGTGGGAGCTCACACATTATGGGCAGTATTATTAGAATTGGCAAAATTATCCTGACTTTGTGCGTTGGGATATAAAGCAGGAGGTTCTGTGACAAGTGTGTTTGTCAGGTACACCTGCAGGGTTATTCTATACACTAGGTCACAGCCTCTGTCTTTCTCCATGGTAGTTCACGTGATGGATTCTTTGGGGAAATCCAGCAGGTGGAGTGAGATCAGGCAAAGGAGGAGACTTACCTTGGATCACAAAATAAAAGATACTGTCCTCTTTCACACACTCCATGTCGTCTTTCTCCTCTCCCTCTAGATCACCAGTATTCATTGTTAAGAAAATAAATGGCTAACTGCTATAATTCTGGGTATTTGTTGATTAGGTGCTCAGAGCACTATCCTGGTGTAATTCTGATTTCACCTGAATTCTCAATCGCAGGGGGCAGAAGTGGGTGAGATTCGTTTAATAGCATATTTCATTTAACCCAATAGATCCAGAATATTATAGTTTTACCATGGGATCACTGTCATATATGAAATATGTTACTTTTTTCTGAAATATTCTACTTTTTTATGAAGCCTTTAAACTAAGTGTTCCTTTTACAAACAAAGTGTGTCTCAGTTCTGGCCAGCCACATTTCAAGTGCTGTGTAGCCACAAGTCTCAGATCTACTCTACTGATCAGTTCAGCTCTTGACTGTGTTTATGAAAACAAAGCTCATTATCACCAAGAATTTGTTTAGTTTGTGACAGGTTTTGCTATGCACTGAGTGGAACAAGACTTTCCTGTGCATGTTGTTGGTGACTGCTATCCTCTGAGGTATAGGCACCCCCATCCACTCTTCACTTTGTCTGTATAATAGTTTCTCTTTTAAAGGTAGATGAGTGCATTCCAGTATATGTGTATATGTGTGTGTTTTCATTTTTATAATATCCAGTACATTATGGATTCCTTTAAAAATACTTCACATTGCATAAATGAAAAAAGAGGCAGACCATCGTGAAGGTTTGAAGTCCCTTACTATCTGTTTCAATTTGGGAAATTATTAAGTATCACTTGATCTATTAGTTGATGATATGATCTTACAGCCTGACAGCGTAGGTCCATAAATGACTGTGCTAGGAGAGCAAAACAAGATAATACAATGAATGTCTTACATTGAAAAGTAGGAAGTGATTGACAGCCTAGTAGGTATTATCTACTTTACAGAGTTAACACCAGAGATTGGCATGAGTGTGGTCCCTAAATGTGCACACAAGTGAAAGGTAAACTCTATAATGAGATTATGGAACAACTTTGCTGGTAGCCTGTTTCTGTTTTTGAACATGTGAACTTCTACAGCATGTGTATATTAATGGACAATTCTCACTGTGAGCAACCGGTTACATTTGTCGTCTATAATTATAACTAAGTTGAGACCTATTTTTAAGGCCTTTAATTAGAAATTCCCAAATCACTGCTGTGCTTACCTTAAGTTTCAGAATAGGACTAGTAAAATGCGAGGAGAATTTTTACATCTTTATTTGTTGTGAGATTATAAGTACTTTTTATTTTAATGTTTTAAATTTGTATAAACAAAACAATACTTATACAAGCTAAAGTAATTTTATTATATATCCTCCTTTAAAATCCCTGTTATAAGTTAATGTCATAGAAAATATTTGACTCAGCACCTTGAAGTGGTAGATTTCAATACACCTGTCCCACATGTATCCAGTTGCTGAGCTTGCTTGTTTATGACGTCTAATAAAGAGCAGTCGACTGTTGTGATATTACCATACTGGACAATTGAAGTCACACATTAATGTGTACCCATGTTGTTTTTAAAATTGAACAAACAGGTGGTTATTTGTCACTGATGCAAGAAATAGATAAGTTAGCCCATATCCATAATTTGCTTTCAGTCTAAATTGCTGGTCTGTGGAAGATTTAAGGGTGTATTCCACTTAATCTCCTCTTTCCACTAACCATATTTTTGTCTGTCTATCCCTGGGCAGAGGTTACTACATAATAATTGTGCCTTTGAAGAAATCTCGTGGGAAATTTATCAAGCCATGGGAGAGTCCAGATGAAATGGAATTAGATGAGGTAACTATATCTTTGTTGACTTGTGTTTCATTAGATATTTAATTTATAAAATACCCTGTCCTCCCTGTGGAGTCCTTCCAGCATCTAATGCAGGTATTGGCTTTTGCATATCTGGCTGGTCAGATGGCTCATTGCTGTGGGCATGCTGTGCTCTGGGGGATCCCAAAAAAGATCCTTTAGCTTTAATTAAAAGACATTAAGCAGCAATAAACCTTACAACCTGCCTAATCCTCTTTGGCCTTAATAATTTGCCCCTTGTCCCTTGTAAAACATGATATGGAAGTGTGGAAGGTGAAATAAATTGTCACCAAAGACTAAATCACCATCGATATGAATTCCAGGAACCTTCATTCATTTGGTAGTTGTTAAAGCTGTTATAAATGCTAAATTGCACATTGCAGCAGAGTTTACGTGGCCTACTATGTGGTCTTGGGTATATATTTTTTTTTGTATTGTTTGCCTTACTTTATATTCTGTTATGTTTTTAGAATCACAAGTACATTCTGCTGCAGAGGAAAACACAAACTTTTGAGCACAGCAGAAAATAGAAATAAAACCTGCAGGTTCCAAATAGCGTGACTATAATTTCCAAAATTTAAATAGTAGTTGTATTTTAGTGATTACTTGCTGAAAGGAGTGTTTGTGTTTTGAAAGTTAATACATAATATGAAGGAGACCTAATTATTATATAGTTTTATTTAAATGAAAAATACTATGATCTAGAGCATTAAGCCAGATCCCCAGAGAACCACAGTTAATGACTAAGATTCACAATTAAAATATAGGAGACTTTATTTTTACAAAATGCTATTTTGAATAAGTTCATAAGAAAATTGCCCAGTCTCCAATTTGGAAAAACAAAACTTTTAATTTATTGGGTTAGTTTACTACATAGTCTAGATTTTATATTTTAATAGGTTATTTCTTTTTCAGTTTAGCTCAAGTGGAGCAAGAATAATAATTCCCTAACTGTACTGGTAGATATTTATTTCAAACAAATCTGCACAAAAGACACTGTGATCTGACAAAAAAAAAAAAAAAAAAAAAAAAAAAAAAAAAAAAAACAACTCGGCTGTTAGCATCTTTTGATAGGGGTTTGTCACCCCATAGCTAGGGTTCATCATCATCTACTTCATTTTTGAGGTAAATATGATTGAGTTAAGAAGGTGAGGTGAGTTCAAGACTAGACTGATGTTTTTTTGTCAACATAAAGTGATTAGATTATCCCAGGAGGCACATACAGTAAGATAGCATTTCATTAATGTTGTCAAATAATTTAGATATGTTATGATTTTAATTTTTCTATTAATAAAAAAGGTATAAAAATTACTGCTATGTGACAGTGGAAAAACTGCAGTCCTTAAGATTCAAAATGATTAGTGTTTCTAAAAAAATTATTTTGAAGCAAGACATGATTTTACTTATAACTGACTAATCAGTTAATCCTGAGATAGTCTTTATTATCTAAGTTGGGTTTTAACTGGATTACAGAATTTTCACGAATGCATTTTAGCTGGAATTGAATTTAAAATGCAAAGGCAACTTGAAAAACCTATGAATCTCTACCAAGTTTCCAGAGCACTAATAGTCAAGATGAAATGATGTCAAATATTTTAAAATAATGAGCATTCATTAGAAGTTAAGCCATTTGGTTATACTAGGAAGTGATTCTCTTTTACAACTGCATTTTAACCTCAAAAATATGTAGCAATGCTAATGGATTAAAGTACAGGAGTACATGACATTGAACTTTCTTGCAATTAAATTCTATACATTTGTGCTGCTTATTCCCATAACAAAGGGTCATTTAAATCATCCTGCAGGTTGTGGTGCATTAATCTATAAAATAGGTTGATAAAGAACCTATTTTATTAATTCAGAATTTTGGGGTCAGGATGGATTGTTTCCCACTTTTCTTACTGATATAATTGAGACCACATAGGAGAATTAATGGTGGAAGAAATAAGATATGCATTGACTGGAAAATGAAAATTATTTCTGATAAGGAACTAAAGCTTTTGATATATCTCCTGGAATTACCTCCAATACATCTTGTAACTCTCTTGGAGGGGAACAAATGTGAAAGTAGGTTATGGCCTCGCTTTATGCTTATTCATCCTGTTTTGATCACTATGGATAGGTTTTTTTTAAAGCTTTACCATGGATAATAGAAGAATTTTAATAATTTTATCTATAGCTTATACTACCAAGTTTGACAAAGCATTGTTCCTTTCTTAAATGTATTTGACTGAGTAATTTTTCAGAAAGGTCTATAATTCAAATGGTTGGAACCATATCATTGAATAGAATGGTGGCCTAAGGGGATTTCCACATGTAAGCCTCACATGTAGCCCATAAAAAATTGAAAATGGCTTTCTAGACAGAATTATTTTCAAAATTCTCTTCCATGCTCATTTATTCTTTGTGTGGGGGGATACTCTCCACATGATAAATTCCTAGACTGGAATTCCTGTTCTCAAGGTCAGACTGGGCAGAGTAGACACTGATAATTGCAATGAATTTTGGGCAGTGTGACTCCCAAAATATTAGTTACATTTAAATCAGAGCAAGTCATGTAAGATGTCACAAGCTGTTTGTTTCAATGTGCTTCAAATACTTATTGCACAAATACGTGATCATTGGTGATTGTAACTTCAGCGTGCTGGCTAACTTTGATGCCATCATCTGGGCTCACTTGAGCCATTTAAAATGTAACCCAGGAAATGTCCTACAGAGAGGACAGCCAGCTACAGAGGCAGGGCAAGTTTCCAGATTTGACCTTAATGAATCACTGCTTTAGACCAGAGGAACACCAGAGCAGCCAAATGTTTGATTCTGAAGCACCTCCTCTGAGTCTTCTAAACAAACACTAGCAGAACATATGCAGGGAATGACAGTGATAAGGAAGAATCGTGACAGCTGTCTGCATGTGAAGTATGAATAAAATCAAGGTAGGGTTTGATCAGTGAAGTAGGGACACAGTCACATAAACAACTGACAGTAAATGCTTTTGATTAGCCAATTTCAAAAACTTGCTCGGCTTTTCTGCAATAGGTTTGTCCTCAAAGTAATGGGTCACTGTTTACTACACATCCACAAGAGCCTTTCTAATGACTTTTTAAGAATAATATTAAATTTTTCACATGCTAAAAAATTAGCATGTGAAAAATCCAGGAAGAGGAAACAAAACATTCATTGTGTTAATGAAAAGAGGTGCAGAGAAATACAGACTGAGTTCAAACAGTTTGCATGATCAGAGTTTAAATGTACTATTTGGTTTTTTTGTTTTTGTTTTTGTTTTTTTTTTTTTTTTTTTTTGATTTGGTGGCATCATTAGGTTAAAAAGATTGAGGTGATCTCTCATACAATTTCACTTTATTTTATTCACTGAGTCTAATTAAACATTGTGACTTTCTGTTGTGCCTATTCCCTCGCTCATGAATGAGGATCATTATACCCTGTGTTACAGCATTATTATGAGGGGCAAATGACTTACTGCATATTTAGGCTTCCTATGACAGCATCTGACATTTAGAAAGTGGTAATTAGTATCATCTGCATTATCATTATTGTAAGTAAATACAAATTTGACCTCAAAATTGAAAGGTAGTACTAAGCCTGGCTTTACTGTTTACTGGCCTACCACTGTGTGCTTGTTCTACCTATCAGAATCTGTGATTTGATGGTCCACATTTACCAAACTGATCATGTCCAGTCCACTGTGCTTTTCATTAACGGCTTATAGCTCATGTATTTTAATTGCATTAATAAACTCAGATTTCACAGAACATTTCACAGCATTGTAAATTAAATATTATTGAAAAATAACTGGGGAACAGCACACTTGTTTTCTACATTTTATGGGGTCAATCAGCCGAGCACATTCACAACTCTCAATAGAGATAATAGTGCATCAGAGTCCTAGCAGGAGGATGCCATGTGCCTCAGAGGTGTTGTTTCAACCATCAAATCACAAAAGCCTGCCTTTGATCCTGCCAGAATCCCATTCGACTAACTATAGATCATGAGTGATTTTTACTATAACCTTCCCCTTTACACAGCTAAGGGTGGTAATTAGTTTTGATGCAGAGTTTTCATAAATACTTAAATTTTGTTTATTAAGAAGATAAGATCTGTCCTCAGATATAAAGCTTTTTTCCAGTTTGTACTCAGATATATGACCTTTTCTTGCACAGAAATTATACCAAAAATTATTTTTTGACAAGCTTAAAAAGTACTGTTTACTTGAAAAGGCATCCTAAACTGATAGACTTTTCCCCTCCTAAGCCCTTTTGAATACCAGTATGTCAAGTGAGAAGGCAGCAAAGGTAATTTTGATATCACTTTGAAATCAATTAGCATATCATTAATATGATTTTTTAATAAATGAGTCAATAGAAAGCCATAGATTATCTCAACACAAATGACTTTTAAAAATACAAGAAGGATGTGTATGCGTGTTGTGTGTTTTCTTCAGGACAATGTGGAAATTAATTTTTATCTACTCTGCATGTGTCACCCTACAAGCTATTCAAAGTGCTCAGAGAGGAAAATCTGACTGTGATAGAATGTTAGGAACCCCACACCAACTGGTTAATCAAGGAGGCAGATCAAGCCAGGAATTTTTAGATGACTGACAATATATTTAAATTTCAAATTATTTATTGGATTCTGTGTGTGATGGTTTGAGAGAAAGATGGAATTAATAAGCACACTATGAATGACATTACCTTCTCCCAAAATGTGGTCCTATTGAAGGTTTAGATGACTTTATCTGAATTACTACTTTTTTTAAATAAATCTCCTATAAGGCAAGGTTTTTGAGCCAAGCTGACTCTTTTCCTTAGAGAAATACATTTTTGTCCTTTAAAGAGAAATAATATGTCCTTTAAAGAGAAATAATATTCATTAGTGTAGAAATAATATGAGGATCTAGGGAAGTTACAGTTGCCCAGCATTTGTACATTGCACTTTCCAAACGCTGCCCAGTATCTTACGTTAATAAGAAGATAAGCATTGAGATATTGAAATAACTGAGATTTAGTGATGCTGGCATGCTACGTGAAATGCATACAAATTATGTTTGGTTTAGTCTCATCCTTAAGTTAATGTCTACCATTAAACCATCAAGAATTAGAGTTATTTATAGTTCTTTTTCTGTTCCTCACTTTTTTCCTTAAGCTACTTAAGGAGATATCTAGGAGACGCAGAAGCATTCGTTATGGGAGAGAAGTTGAATTAAAGCCATATATCGCAGCTCACTTTGATGTCCTTCCCACTGAGTTTACCTTGGGGGATGACAAACATTACGGTGGATTTACAAACAAGCAACTCCAGAGTGGTCAAGAATATGTCTTCTTTGTGTTAGCAGTGATGGAGCATGCAGAGTCTGTAAGTTAATGAAGATGGCATTGCCTTTGGTATACTTACTCATTTTCACCAGTGGGCTGTCCAACTTTGGGGGCATATGTAGGCTCATCCTTCCCATTTCTCATAAGGTGTCATTTACTGTGGTGTTATAATAGACTGTCAAATGTGGGTGTATCTCTCATATATGGAAGTCCAGACTGATAGAACATGGTCGTTTGGATGTGTCAGTGTAACACATCACAATGTATAACATCAATGCTTGGTCTCCATCCTTAGTCAGTTAAAATGAGCATTTAAAAAAAATACTCCTTATCTACTTTCTGGTAGACATTAGCCCATGTGTGATTACAATGGGAATTAACAAGCTTTAACTTAACACAGTACATTTCCTAGTATTTGAAAACACTGACTTGGTGAGTGGTTGCATTTTTTCTCTTGTAAATTTCCACTGCAGCCTTTGTGCTCCCACCAAGATTCGCAGGAAGGCCTGCCTAGGACCAGGGCAGAACCAGCAGCTTCTCTAATTGCACCAATTTGAAGTGGCTCTATCAGCAAAGAGCAAAGAAAGTTAGAAAATGATTTAGTAAAAAGGAAAAGTCCTAAGGTGCTCTAAATAATGAGTTGTCTTTTTCATGTAATTCATCTTGCTCGTATGTTATTTTATGCTTTAGTTGCTTCAAATGTTTGAAAAAGACAGAGGATAAGAACCTGTAGATGTTAAAGGAGGGGTGGATTTTGAAGTGGTAGTTTACATTAACATTTAACATACAGATTCTCGAAAGAAATCTTTCTAATCAGGGCCTAAGTCTGACAGGTGTGGCAACTCAGTGGCACCCTTTCTGCATTTAAGAAACCTGGGATGTATCAAAGGTTTCTCCACATTAGGTGTCAGTGTGTATGCTGGGGCCTTTCTTCCTGTGACTGGAGGAATTCTCCTGTGGAAAATCAAAACACAAAGGCCGTCTGGTTACCTTTGTGTGCAGAATGTCATTTTAAAACAAAGTGACACCCTTCTTGGAATTTTAATGCACAGCTATGCTTTCTCTTTCTACTTGAAGGTTTTAAAGCAGAACATCAAAGGAAATGGTTGTTAGAAATGGTCTTTTTCTTTAATAAAAAAAAAAAAAAAAACCCTGGGTACTTTGGAGGAATTTTCTTTAAATAGCTCTATGAACATTTCAGAAAGCACATTCTGAACATGGGGGTAGATGAGAGGATCTGCCAGAGGGAGAAATCTCATCATGTAGACTGACTGCACCTTTCTCACACCCTGGCTTCTGATGGCTCTTAGACATTTCTACCAATTGTTAAATGTAGCGCCTCTGGTAAAGAGTCTATTCCTTTTTTCAGTGTGCCATCTCACTGTTCCATTAGTTACATAATAGAATTAATTTCCCCCTAGATTTGTTCTTTAATTGCCTTTTTTTCTTCATCATATTTCTTGATGTACCTCTCAAAAGAAGCACTATTTCCCTTACAATTCATATAGTAAGTAGCATGTGTGCAGGCCAGCATTTACTGTATGGACAATATCCAAACAGTATAAAGTTTGCAGTGATGCAGCTGGTAAGCTTCACATTTCCTGGACTGATTCTTAGTGATGCGTGTAACCACTTCTAAGGTGGGCTAGCCCTTTACAGACACAGAATACTTCTGTTCCTCATCCCCTCCCCACAGACACTGAGTTTTCCTCTCGTACATTGCCTCATAGTAAGAACACCAGAGAATTGGTTTTGAATTATTTAAGGTATGATCTCTTCCTTTATTCCCTCCCACTGAACAAATCCAATTTTCCGTGAGACTCACAGAGTTTTATAGCTTTGTTTCCTTTCCATCTCCACACTGCTATTTCTTGATTTATATTGGAAATCTGTGTGCTTTGGGAGGATCTTTCTTTACATTTCTATCATGATTAACCAAGTTAATTGCCACAAGACCTCTTGGTAAAGAATTTCATTCAAGTCAGCAAGGTTTGCTTACTTTGTAGAACCAAACAGCTTCAGCGTGGAACCTACAAAATGGAGGAGATAATATAAATGGAAGCAAATATTTACATAAGAAATCACATTGCTTGAATATATGTAGGCTCTTTGCCAAGTCTTTTATGCCATTTCTGTTACCAATATATATCCATTCTCTCTCTCTCTCCATTCTCTTGTCTACTTTTCTTTTCCTTCCTTTCTTTCTTTATTCTGTCTCTGAGAAGGTTGGAAAGGTATAAATTTTCATCTTCTTTGATGCAGTAGAAAGTCTGAAAGTCTCATCAATCATTTTCCTGGCCAAGTGGAAAAACTAGGAAGCAAGAGTCAGTGGGGCATGCGTTCTGCTACTCATTTGCTGATCTTTAACTAAAATTCAGAAGGTCTGCCAAAAAATACATTTTGAAAAGATGAAGGTTTGCAAAGCTAAATATATTTACCAATTATGGAAAAGAAACATGTACACATATATCTAGATCTTAGCCAATGAAAATGATAATCTTTTTACTTTGTTCAATAAAGATTTGCTGAGAACTCAGTATGTACATAGTACTTCACTTAATCTTCAGTACCACAAAAATAAAAATAAATTAATGAAAAACTAAGAATAAGCAAATTCAGAGTATGAGTACAGAGACTTCTTCAAATCTTTTCTAAAAAATTTATTTTTATTTATTTTGGCCACCATGAGCCATAGTCTATCCCACTGGCCCTGTATCGCTGAGCTATATATCCCCAGGCCAAATATAAATATTTATTTCCAGGACTGGAAATCCAAGTCCAAGAATCAGTCCTTAGAAAGCACTGATGATTTCATTGAGGGAAATGAATCATATACACATTTAAAAAATAATTTGTTGCATGCCCTTTTAAAAGGAGTAAATAACTAAATTAAATATTTACATTTGGCTTTTTTACCTGTATTTTTTGGAGTAACTGATTTCTCCCCGTTTGGAAGGCAGTATTTACATGGAACCTTGGTGAGAAGTGGTATCTTTAGAGCTAACCTTTGTGGATCTTGTAAGGCAGATAAAGAGCATAAATAGTGCATCTGGGAGTAACAGCAAATAAGGTTCACTGTGATGTAAATTGTTAGATGTAATAAGGAAACTTAAGAAAAAGTGTGGTGACCATTGGCAGCCATGTTTGACTGCATAGAGCCTCTTGAAGGTTTTACATTTGAACTTTAGAGCAATAATTCTGTAGCAGTGATAATAATGACTATTAGGAAAAGGAAGACATTCCTTATAATGGTTAAGAGAGCATGAATGAGATTCTGAAAAAAAATAGTAACCATGAGACTAGAAAGAAGACCTGAGAGTCATTTATCAGTGAAATCAGTAGTTTGTATTTTGAGATAGAATTTGAAATAAACAGGGAAATTAGGAATATGAATCAAGAAAATAGAGAAAGAATGCATGTGATTCTTCATTCGAGTGCAATACATAGAGAAAATCATAAATGAGGGTCTGGGATTTAGTAGATTTTCTGTATTTAGAAATGTTAATGAGGACACGGTCTACATAGAGCCTAGTCATTAAAGTTGGACCAAACATGGCTCCATAAGAGAGGTTAGAAAGAAGGAAACTGAAGACTGGTGGCTCTACCGTAGGGTGCAGTCAATTGCAGTTAATGCAACAGAATTTGAGCAGATAGATTTGGAAGAAACCAGTTGAATGCAGAACTAAGAAAGTCAGAGAAAGACATTTTAAGAAATCTTGGTCAACTACGGGAAATCTAGAGAATACCTTGAGGAAAACAACTCAATAAAGATGGTAAGATTAGGCAGAGAAAATCTAGGACCGGTGGTGGCTTTGCAGTGAAAAGAAAATGAGGTGGGAGTGGTGAGAGCAGCCTGGCAGCCACCAGCTATGATTTGGCCTCTGCTGAATTTGGGAAATAAAAGGAAAAGAGGGCCGTAAGGGGGGTGCAGAGTCAAGAGAACACTTTTCTAAAGTCAGCTGAAATATCCTAAAGACATTCAGTTTATTATTTCACCAAGTAATGTGATTATGCTTTTGAAAATTTAGTATCCTTTTACCATTCCAAACTTTATATAGTAGATATGATAAAATTAAATAAGAGCTACTAAATCATTTTAAATGCAAACAATTCTGCATTTTAGACAACTGTACATATTACATTCCTATTTGAATGTTGGAATTATCCTTTGATATTGAAGACTTTGTCTATATCTTGTATTTCCCAAATCATGTGTAGTACTAATGAGCACTGGTACAGCTTAATATTTGACTAAATATTGCTTCTTTTCCTCTAAAAATATTACCTTTTAACTTTAATCTTTTTTTATAATACAAATTGAATATTTCATTTCCAAAATACTTGGATTGAAAGTGTTTCAGATTGCTTTTTTTTTTTTTGTTTGTTTGTTTTTTGGATTTTAACTTAGACCTTGCAGGTTTAACATCCCTTAAAATCCAGACGTTATGAAATTTCTCAGAATTTTTCATATTTTGGAACTCTGGATTTCTGATGTTTGGATTAAGGAATTCAGCCTTTAATGTTTTTGAGACTGGAACTCTTACTATTTCCCCATATTTTCATGTAGCACCTAACACATTGAATATTCATTGCACAGTTTGTGTCTGGTTAATTATTGCTCCTGTATACTTCATGAAATTATGTATTATTCTATGTAAAACCCTATGAATTAATTAATACTATCTGAAATTCTTGTTATGTCTTACCATTTAAGGAAACTTGCATTGCAAATTTTCTTCTTCTTGTCTTCCCTCAGTTCCTTTCTCCTGTATTTAACTAACATTGTTTCATTCACTCGTCATCACTGTGTCCTAGAACTAGTGCTCCTTCTAATGCTGGATATATACTGTAGAAAGCCATTGCCTTGTAACTAACATAGATTCTACTTTTCCTCAGAAGATGTATGCAACCAGTCCCTACTCCGACCCTGTCGTTTCAATGGATCTGGATCCACAGCCGATCACGGATGAAGAAGAGGGCTTGATCTGGGTCGTAGGTCCTGTCCTTGCTGTGGTCTTTATCATTTGCATTGTCATTGCTATTCTTCTTTATAAAAGGTAGGTTTGCTCTGTATTTCTATTGAAGCTTTGATGTTTGCTTTATTTTTGAGGAATGTATCAGTATTCGATGGTCTCACAGTTGATGTTGTTAGAAATAATGTAGTGCAGCCCCAGTGACTGCTGGGAAAATGTTTTCATTAGAGTTAGAGCAAGTGTAAAGACTGTACTCTTCTGAGGCTGGTTCAATGTGTGGTAGAGATATTTGCTGCCAGGATGTGTGTATGCTAGGCTCCATCTTTTGGGCTGCTTAATGTAGAATCTGCACTTTTCATGATGTTTGAGAGATTACTATATTCATAAGCAGATTGTTCCATGAACATGTGGAGGTTTTAGTTATTCAATTTCAACGTATTTCAAAACACTGCTATGATTTTGCACATTTGCGTTTATTTTATATGTCTGACACATATGTTATATCACATATGATAAAATATTTCCTGTAAGCATTTCTGAAGATTTAACAAAAATAGCTAAAAATTTGGAGATTTAAAAAAAAATAAGAGATGGAAAGTGAACTCTTCCCTCCCACTTTTTTCTACCTTTCCAATATAGTCAGTATTAAATTTTCATTTATGTGCAACATGGGAAGATGAGAAGATACCGTTTTCGATTTAAAAAAATAACCGTAGTCTTTATACTCCTGATTATCAGTCTGATTAGTGTCTTTGACTAGAATAAGGATATAAGTAATCCATAGCTACCCAGTCTTTCCAGGGCTTCTATCATCTGCTCTGCTTCATTACACAGAAGCCAGATCTCTGCTATCCTTGATGCTTTCCCAGTCTGGGAAGGACATTTGTAATTTCTCCCCTAAATTCTTTCTGGCTTAGTTTTATAATCATAATGTAAATATATAAAACAAAAATGTATGGGTAATGAATTCTCTTAAACCTTTATAATGACTAAATTCTTAATTACCTTTGTATCAAAGTTTTCTTCTAATTCAAATATTTTATAAAACTTTAATCTGGTTTCCCACTTTCTGCCAAGTGTGCCATGTTTGATAATGCTACCATGAAGATTATCTTCCCTTTCTTTTGGCCCTGCTCTTCTTCCTCTCTTTTCCTATCATATTGTCCTTTAGAATCAGACAGACTGTCTTCATTTTGATTTGTGCTTACGTGTTCAGTGTAACCTCATTTCCATCAAGCCTTGTTCCTGCCCATACATCTCCTTGTAGGGTGTTTGTTTCTTTACCTCATTTTCTTATTCTTAGGTTCTTGGAATAGCTCCCCCCCCCCATGAGTTCTTATCTTGATTCAAAAAAGAAATGCTACAAAGTACTTCTCCTTTGGAAGACCTTCTCTCATAAGATGTCTTAGTTAATTTTTCCTTAGTGGGACAAAATCCCTGATATCCGTAAGTTAAAGGAGGTTATTTTAGCTCATAATTTATATTTATAGCTCATAATTTAGCTCAGTTGGCTGCAAAACAGGATAGCATGGTAGAGGAGAAACAGCTCATGGCATAGTAGGCAGGAGAAAGCAGCAGCTTTCCTTCTGCTTTCCCTTTTTATTCCATTGGGGCTATAAGCCTATTGGGTCTTCCCATTATCCACAGCCAGAGCTATCCTAAACCAATAGCAGGCAAATATAGTTATGGACACTTTATCCAGGGCCTCACTCTCGTAATCCAGGCTCGTTCCAAAAGTCACACCCAAGCACATGAAACTTGTTGGGGAGGGGCATCTAGATATAAACCATAGCATAAGGCCTCACTCAGTTTTATTCCAGCATGAAGAAAAGATGGAAAAAATAAAGGACAAATGAGAGAACTCATAACCATAACCCATTATATTGCCTAACTTGTTCCAGAGTCAGAAAGAAAAGAAAAAAATCCATCATTCAGTTATCCATGATATAAAGTAGTTAAGAAAGTGGTGTTCAAAGGCAGAGTTCTCCTAGTTTATGGTTGGAACCATCCAACCCTGATTCATATCTCATTTATGAGTATTTTACAGGTCCCATAGTGCTTTACCATCTTTATCTTCTATATGAGGTAAGGGCGGGAAGCAGGAGCCACACACGTGTCCCAGAATAATTACGATCTTGTTTGAATCTGAGCAGGAGCTAGTGCCTGTATCTGTTTGTGTGCTAACAGGTCCTACAAGAAAAGAATATAATAATAAAAAGAAAACTAGAATTCTAATTGTCTGAGGAGAAATATTCAAATTGTGACATCCTATTGTGAGATTCAAATCAGAAAACAAGTGCTTAGTGACAGGTGCATCGCTAGACAATATCACATGACATTTTTGATTATTAAAAATATACAGAATGGGACCAGAGATTTAGCTCAGTGGCATAAGTGCCTGTCTGGCAAGTGTGAGGTCCTGAGTGCCAATCCCCATACCAAAAAAAAAAAATAAAATAAAAAATGAAAACCAAAAAACCAAAAAACAAGATAGAATCTGTCTTTTAAAAAATGTGCAGAATAAATGCCTCATGTCAGAGGTGTTGTTGTTAAGGAATGCCCCTGACTATCATTAAGTCATACCACTTAGCAGTGATATGTATGGTGTTTGTGAATCGGTTATGCAAATTTGAAGGAATCGAGGACTATAACCCTGTTATTTTTTTAAAGACTTATAATTAAGTTTTCTTTGCTTCATCTGCTTGTGCTTGAAAAAAAATATCAACCCAGTTTGAATTTTTCTAATCCTGCAAAAAGAGACATCGTATTTAAAGGTTTAATGACTCCGTTAAAAGAGTCTCATTTTAGTGTATGCACATACAAGCATCGTCTAATGCGATTGTTGGAAAATGCACACATCTTCGAATGCTAAGTATATTTAGCTAACCATCTGAAAGCCCATGAAGCACTTCTGAAATAGAAATGCATGCTTCAGCAGTAAAGAACATTCCTGACTTGTAGTGCAAGTAGATCCAACAATGTCCTTCTTGATTATCATGAGGCAGTCATTGGGCACAGAGGATTTCATCTGTACCCAGTGAATAGAGTCTTTTATAGCTTGGATTCTGAACAAAGTTAAATATATGGTACATCACTCCTCCTTTGTAGGTGCCTTTTAGTTTATGCACAGGTCATTGATAATGACTTACAATTGAAATAGCTTTGTTACTATTACCAAAATTATGGTTAAAATAATTCACTTCCTGCATACTTCACATAATGCTCTGAGAGGGAACAAACATAAAATATTATTGACTCCTACTGTCCTGAAAATCCCTGTATCAAATACACCTGTTGGGTCCAACTATAAATGGTTTGTACATATAAACCCATTTTTTCTAGCTATGTGAGCAGACATGGAGACATTAAGATAGATTAATGATGTCTTCTGTCCTTTTATTAATTTGACTTTTAAGGTTGTTTTCTGTCATTTTATTTATTTGACTTCGTTTTATGCTAGTATTTTATACAGGTATGACACACTGATAATAACAAAAATACCATTGAGGCTATGTATAGTCCCTGATATACTGTCTGAACCATTAGAAATATATTTAGTGGGCTTTTAGTGTTTGAAATTTTCTTGTTTTATGTTTTTTTTTTTAAATTTTGCATTCTTTGCCTGATACATGCAATGACTTAAAACATAAACCTTAGAGATAGCAGGTAGTGTATTTATACAGATACTAACTAGGAGGCAAGAAACCTATTTCAAGTCCCTGCTTTTGGCTAAATGCAGTGATAAATTAAGCCAAGGCTCTTGGCCTACATTAACTCATTTATAAAGTAGAGAGACTAGATAATTAAGCTTTAAATAATAACGTTGTGTGGTCTGAGAACATCAGAAAACAGGTAATAGAATCAGTATTTCTGTGTAAGTATGGATCCAACCTCCCTTCATCCATCCACCCACACTAATTAAAATTTGTGAAAGAAATTGAAATTTCTTATATATTCATCTACCCTGTACCTCTTCTAGATATATCAGGCTTTCAGTCCTTAGTTCTGGAACTTCCCAAGAATTATTTACATAGAGAATAATTAAAAATAAAGTCTTAGCCTGACTTCATGGGGAAGCATTCTAAGATGAATAAGAATTATGTATTATATGGTATAGGGTGCAGTGTAGATTTGAGGTAATTTATTTCTTGAATAATAATAGTCTAGCCTGAATGGACATTGCAAAGACAGAAAATAATTTCTAGCCGCAACCCTTATATGGGGAAATTATAAGGTAGAGGTGTCTAAATTACACTTTTCCCAGCACCAATGTGGCCTTTAATTCTTTAGTTTCCTTTTGTTTATCAGTGCCATATATGTTTACAAATAAATATAATCCAGAACATTTTGAAACGCTATGTAAGGTTGTGCTGCCACCTCCAACCACAAGGACAGTGCTGCTGGATTCTGTCTTCTGGCCTGGCCTACACTCCTCCCTGGGTCTAGGATGCATTTTCTCCTGGTCGGGGCCTCTCCTTTCGGCCTGCCTAATTCTGACTTACCCTTTAGAAGTAAACTAAGATGCTAAAAGCCTTCTGCTATCCCACTACCATTTCCCATGGCCTTGGGACTCTTTTCTCTGTGTCCTTAAAGTACATTCTACTTTTCTGTTACAGAACCTACTGTATTTCTGCAATTGCCCATTTGTTGATTCTTTACTGTAAGTCAAGTGCTCTGTTATTGCTCATTGTACCCCAAGAAGAGTGCCCAGCAGAGAACTCTATTGCATGGCTAAATTTATACAGATCAAATGGTATTTCACAAATTCTACCCTCCACTGGCAAAAGCTATAATAATAAAACCCCTGACCTGTAATTCATATTTGCCATCTCTGAGAGCTGTCAAACTTAGATATTTACACCAAATATGTGCCCATGTACGTGCTGAGTCTGACATTTCTGTAGCAGAGGAAGTGATTTACCTACTAACTGAACATTTATGAAATCCTAGTAATACATAAAACTGCTAATTCATTACATGGTTCTCTTCCATCTAGAAGAGATTTTCCCACACTGGAATCTATAATTGTTGTTGATTAGAAATCAACAAGTTAGATGAAGTACAATTTTTTAACTTAACAAAAAGGTCAGTCATTTCAAAATTAAGAATAAAAAGAATGAGCCTATAAATTTAATATCTTTTAATCTTATATGTGTGTGTCCATACAATTTAAATGTGGATTTTTTTCTTTTCTGTTTTTGTAAGAAAGACTGTATTACATCATAACTCTAGATAGTTCAGCACCATGGTCATTACACTTCATTGGCATTAAACACTCAGTAGTTTTATTTTTTCCCTTGAGAACTCACCACTTTACATTTTGCCTAAAAACAAAAATGTTCAGATTCATTTCAGTTAAAAGGTAGGGTCTCTGCAAAAACATGTTTGTTTAAACAGTCAACATATTATCATGTGAAAGTACCTTTGAGCATGAAGTAGATATGTCCACAAAAGCAGCAGTCTGAAAAAAATAATCTATTTTACCAATGACTGATAATCAAATGCTTACCTGGATTAGCACAGCTGTATAGATGGATCATGCGCCCTAGATGTATAATGATGAGTATTATATTTTCCACAACTGAAAGTGTATTTAATCCTATATTGGAAAAAAAGATTTATGACTACCTTACTTGTCAAAATGTGTATGAGGCAATCATTTCTGCTACTTTATTAGCTTGTGTGATATTATTCAATTTTGTGAATTTCTGTGCAGTTCACTGCAATTTGTAGATATTTTATAACATTAAAGGAATAGCATACATTTTTAACTGAAGACTTTATATTTCATAGGAATGAATTGCTTTCATGAAATGTTATATTTTAATTAAAAGCATTTGTAGCTTTCTCATGGCATGTTTTATAAAATTCAAATTATATATATATATATATATATATATATATATATATATATCATCAAACACCTCCTGGGATATAATTAATATGAGCAGTGTTTCATAGATGATGGATACAAGTAAATACAATTTTAATACCCACACACGTGCACACGTGGACACACACAGACAGATTCATTATTCAGCAAGGTAACCTCATGTTCTCTGTTTAATTAGTGATTAGTGGCCGTGTAATATTTTGAAACACTGTAATTTCTTAATGTGTGTCAGTTATGTGTGTCCTTGCTTTGTGCACTATTTTTTTAAATCTCGGTTGTCGTGGTTACTTGTTACCATTGGCTAACTAACATTTAGCCTTTCTTTTTCCTTTTTTGCTGCATTAAAATGGAGCAGTAAACCTGACAGGTGAGGAATAGTCCACAGTCTTTCAATGGTCAGTAAGACACTCAGAGTGTGGAGATGCTGAAGAGACAAGGGTGGGGCTGGATGTAAAAGATACCATCTGGCAACTGGAAGATGGAAAAATGATTGATACTTGTATTAAAATGACTATGGGAAATACTTTGCTTGTGTGGAAAAAAAGCAAACGTTTATTTATTTGAAGCCAAACTTGGAAGGTCATAAAACCAGTTTTAGGGTTTTGTTGTGGACAAGGTCAAATGAACATTTGTGTGTGTTAATGTTCTGTGCAGAGCAGAAATGTGAGGTGTCCCATAAGCCTTTTTGTTTTGTTTGTTTTTATGGGTCTCTTTTTAAATTTGATCACAGATCACTCCTTATTATAGGAATACTAGCATTTTCACAGCCCATAGATACTAATGTTACTGCTTTAGTGAAAATTCTTACCTAATTCAAAATTATTAGCCATGTTTTTCAGCCTTAAATAATAATAGTTTAGGTAGACTGTGTGATAATTGAGTCATTACTCCAAATTAATTTCCAGCTTTTAACATCTATAAATTGGTATACTTACATATATCTATAAAAATAAATAGATATGAGTATACACAAATGTATATAAAAATTCATGATCAAGAAAAGGATCTCGGGGATTCTCTGCCCCTTGATCCCAGGAATCCTCAGTGAAGGGTCATTGAACCAAGAGCAATGGCATCAGCATCCCTGGAAGTTCATAGAAATGCAAGTAACTAGGCTGCACCTGAGACCTACAGAATCAGAAACCCAAGGTGTACGACCCACAGGCTGTGTTTAGCCAGGCCTGCCATGTGGATGTGTCATGCACATCCAAGGCTGAGAGCTGCTATACACTGTAATCTCCAGAATTATTTTACACTGGCCATAAGGCCACACAGCCAATAACAGGCATCTTGGAGTCCCTATGAGGCTTTCTTATTTTGTGTGCATGACTAGTTACCATTAATCCAGCTTATACCCACACACGAGGTAAATTATGTTTTGCTTGAAAAATCTTGAACACTTTGGACACAATTAATGTACTTATAACTTGTGCATTGTAACCTTGTCCACATTGCCTTCTCATTGGTTTAGGATGAGACAGTTGGGTCAAAATTACTACATCTTCTAATCCTCTATTTTATACACAAAGGAATTCATAACAGTATTCGTAGTTGACACGTGTCCAATAGAGGCATTCCAAGATTTGAGCTCACATTCTTCATGGCATCAAAACTGTGAAGTATTTGAAGTCATTTCTTTGAATACTAACAGTAGAAATTGCAAATAAATACATATTCCTCTCAAAAGCTTGTTCCCAGATGTCCAAGTGTCACTGCCACCAGACAATAAATATAATCTTTCACACAAACTCCCTTTGTTCTCAGCCCCCCCTGCAAATATGAAGGCAGGAATAAGTGGGAATAAAACGCTCCTTGGAATGCCAGAGTAGTAGCAGTTGGTTGTACGTTCCTCACATCTGGAACAGCTGTGCATTATTAGCAGTTATTGATGTATCTGCAATGTCATGTGATCTCTCCCTTCCTTGTTGACACATAGTCCCTGTACCTGGAAGATACTGTACTTCTCACAATAAAAATCAAGGCTGTATCAGAGTTTTGTCATCTAATAGGAAAACAATAGCAAGGCAAAAATCTGGAATCTTTTTCCAGTTAATGTGTTTTTTTTTTCCTAATTGAGAATGATAGGACCTGTGAAAGTTTATCAAGAAAATGTTGCAGCTTACGTTTTTGTTGAATTTCATTTACAACATGATATGCTTTTTGATATTTTAGGTAGTGAATTCAGTTTTTAAAGGTCTTTACCATTAATACCAATAAACACCAGTTCTTCAGCATTAACATCTTTGTTAGAAAGTCTTCTGGGGCCTGGGGATGTAGCCCAACAGCACAGTGCCTGTCTGTTAAGTGCAAGGTCATGAGTTTGATTCCCAGTACCAAAAATGAATAAATAAATACTTTTGGGCTAGAAAAATAACATTTTAATATATAAATGTTTAAAAATAATGCAATAAGAGTATATGCATTCAGAATTTTCCATTTTATGAGCCAAACATGATAGTGCATGCCTGTAATCCCAGCATTCAGTAGGCTGAGGCAGAAGGATTGCCTTAAATTCAAGGCCAACCTGGACTATATAATGATAACTTGTCTCAAAACACCAATAAAAATGATCCATATTGTGATCAGAAAAACAAAACGGAAAGTGAAGGGAAGGTGCTGGATTTCCTGGCTGGCCAGGATTTTAAATGTTCAAGATGTTGGAGTCTATTTCATTGGAACAGATAGAGTGAGGGAGAAGTTATTTAATTAAATCCACTCCTAGTCCATTACAAGAATGAATTATATTTAATTTTAGTCTCATACTCTGAGATTTTTGAGAGGTGTATCTTAACCACAACATGCATTTTCCAAGGGAAAATGGTCTAAGGGAAATGCATTGTATTTCTATAGCAAGTGCTGTTTTCTGGCTTCCTGCTCTGTGTCATTCAGTCTGGCCTCTGGGAAGAGATGATAAAGAGACTGATCCCCAAAACCTGTAAGAAAATAGTTTTCTTGCCCAGGTAGTTCTAGTTCTGGTTTTTATATTCTTGAAGGGTGATAGTTTAAAAAAGGAGAAAAACCTAACTTTTAGAAATTGAACCTGGCACATGGTTAAAGAATTGCATCTGTACCTACTTTTGTGAAAGAACCAAAACCTGAGCAGGGCCACGAGTAGCCATCAGAGTGAGAATACCAACCATAGTTTCATGTGAGACTGATTGGCCAGCTGTACTTGGTGACATTTCATTAGTCCATTTCAATATTGCCTCTTCGGGGTAAAATGGATCCCACAGTGTTGTGGGGAAGTAACCGTAGCATGAGTGCAGTGAGAGTTTCTACTCTGAAAATGATCATCATATCTTCTTTCATGTGCTCTTTTGAGCCCACCCCCTCTCTTTTCCTTCTCATCTCTTTCTCATCAGCACTCCATCTTTTCTTTTCCTTGCCTTTTCATATTTTACTCCATGTGACTGGAGCTGCCAGTACTTTGGCATGTTTCAAAATCATCACTCAAAATCATTGGTCTGATAGGTAGTATGGCTTGGCAGTGTGTTCTGTCTAGGGCTCTATCTGGCAACTTTAGGAAGCAAAGGAAAACGTGGGACAGGTTAATCCGAGCTGCTGTGCTTAGAAAGCAAGGTGTCTAATGGGACTTAACCAGCGAAATTCATTTCAGTGAGGATGTTTTGCCAAAGGCACTGCGCCTGAGCAAATCAAGTGCCCATCTCTTTCACATCAATCTTCCCTTCATCCCCTGGTTGGTTTTATTTTATACAGATGAGCAGAGATGGAAAGAAAGCCTATTTAACAGGAGCCCTCCAGCTAACTATAGAATGACTTGGTTGGCATTGATTGAAAGCCCATTGCCATGACAAAATAACAAGCTGTACCACTGTCATGCACTCACATCCAGGACAGGGATGGGAAAGATTAACCTAAGCACTTTGCATCAGCCCCTGCCCCAAAACAAGAATACCTTCTCTTTGAGTGAGGTCATATGGTAGGGTTATGCTCCAATATGGAGGCTTCTAGAATCAGCACATGGAAAAATGCATACATTGTAAAAATCCCTTGATAAAATTCAATGTGAATTCATGAATGAAACCCTAGGGAAAAGAAGTAAAAAAGGACCTTATCTGAATCTAATAAAAGCCATTTATAAACAGCCCACGGCCAACATAATATTAAATGAGGAAAAGCAGAAGGCTTTTTCTCTAAAATCAAGAGCATAAGAAGGTCCACTCTCAGCACTCCTGTTCTACACAGTCCACCAAACATTGGACAGAAAAATCAGGAGGAAAAAAAATGAAAGAGACTTGGACAGGAAAGGATGACGTCACACTATCATTTGCACATGACATGAGCCTGTACATATAAGACTCAAAAATTTCTACCAAAAGACTCCTAGAATTAACCAAATTGAGCAGTATAGTAGGGTAGAATAAATCAATGCACACAACTCACTGTCATTCCTGTGTGCAAATAGCAAACTCAGAAAGAAATTATAAAAACAATGCCACTCACGGTAATATAAAAAAAGTAGGAATTAGTCTAACCAAGGAAGTGAAAGACATCTACAATCAAAATTACATCATTCTGAAATGGAAATTGAAGAGCACACAGAAAATGGAAACGTGTATCTTCTTCCTGGAAAGGCAGAACTAATACTGTCAAAATGCCAATACTTCCAAAACTGATACACAGATTTAACACAGTGTCAGTCAAAATGCCGATTGCATTCTTCACAGCACTAGAGAAAATAACCCTAAAATTCACACAGACCCAAAGGAGACCCAGAATAGGATGAAACTACCCTGGGTAACAAAAGCAAAGCAAGGTGCAGCACAATCTCAGATTTGAAGTTAGAGTCCAGAGCAGCAGTGATTAAAAACAGCAAGGTACTGGCACAAAAATAAACACATAGATCAGTGGAACAGAATAGAGGAAGCAGAAGCAACCTCAGGCACATGCACCTGTTTGCTCTTTGACAAACAGGCCAAAATATACCTGTAGGAAAGACTGGCTTTTTAATAAATGGTGGTAGGAAAATTGGATATCCAGTTGTAGAAGTCTTAGTCTGGACCCATATCTCTCACCATGTACTACATTAAAATCAGAATGAATCAAAAATATAAATGCTAAAACAGAAACAATCTGCTGGAAGATGAAATAAGTAAAACTCTGGAAAACAGACATAAGCAAGGATTTCATGAACAGAGCCCCAATGGCACAAAAAATTAGTGCTGAGAATCAACAAATGGGATTGTATTAAATTAAGGAAAAACCTGCATAACAAGGAAACAAAATGAAGACACAACCTCCAGAATGGGAAAAGATTTTGCAGTGATTCTCATAGAGAGGATTAACATCTGCAATAAAGAAGCCAATAAATAAATATGACCCCCACATACACAATAAAAGATCCAG